TGTTCAGGAGAAGATGGACGGCTGGCATATGAACAGCTGGACAAATTCCCCCGTGAATTTGTTAAAGTTGGTAGTCGACGCACAACTGAAGTGGCTACAGCTTTTTAAATGTTCAAATTATATTTTGAGATATGCCAATTTCATGTGAACCCAGATGGTCCTGTAAAAAAACTGAAACTTCAAAACCCATTAGTTTGAAAATTGTTTTGTAATTTAGGAACTTATCAGCATTAAAAAAAAGAGGGGATTTAATGTATGGGCTGCTGTTGTCTCTTCTATGTAGCTTATAGTGAAATATTGATTTCTTGAAGATTATAATAATCTTGCTTTTTTGTGAAATCCATGTAATTGTTGTAAAGCTTTGGAAAAATGAGAGATGTTTTGAAATTATAAGATATGTTAAATATAGAGCAGTGTGTGTTTGGTGGACATAATTGTGCCAGTTTGCAATATGTGATACTGTGTTGAAAACATTGAAAAGCAAACATTTATATAAGAGGCATGTTGGCGCAGTGGTTAGAATGCAGTACTGCAGGCTACTTCTGCTGACTGCCAGCTGACTGAAATTTTGCAGTTCGAATCTCACCAGGCTCAGCCTTCCATCCTTCCGAGGTCGGTAAAATGAGGACCCAGATTATTGGGAGCAATATGCTGACTCTGTAAACCACTTAGAAAGGGCTGTAAAGAACTGTGAAGTGGTATATAAGTCTAAGTGCTACTGCTGTTGGTATTTAAAGCCATTCTCGTTCCCACCCTCTCTGAATCTCATCAAATATCTGCCTGTCTGATTTTATTACTGGTAGCCATCTAGATTAGCATAAGCAATACTCAAAATTAGGCCAAACTAAGGATGTGAAATTCCAGATAGTGTGATTTATGTGCCCTGTTTAAATGTCTGTTCTTCCTTTTTTTTCTGTCCTTCACTCAGAAAGCACATTAATACTAGAATAAAATTTTTGTTGATAACCAGTTGTATAAGTTATATAAAGCAAGTGAAAAATGAAATTGGTTTTTTTTTCTACAGAGAAGTATATAAAGTATACTTAATGACAAGTAAGCCCCAAATTCCCAAAATTTCAGGGAGATGAAATTTACCTGTTACTTTTTAAGACCTTGATTTATTTAATTTTATTTTTCAATATGACAGATAACAAAAATTATTTCTGGACTGCCTTATAGAGCATAAAGTGATCAAGATAGTTTATAGATTAATCTGATGCAGACTTTCTCTGAAGAAAATCCTCTTGAGTTTATCCTTGTTTCAAACAAGAATGAATAGAATTGCAGTTCCGAAGTATTTAATATAACTCCTTGCTACTACATTTGTGGATATACACTTATGAAAGCAATTAGTTTCTCTGCTATTGTTGGGATCTACAAGCAGAAAAAACAATCAAGCATTCTCTGAATCAGGTAGATTTTGAAGTTTTGTTTAGAAATATGATCTAATAAAGCCCTTCTTTTGCAAATGCATGGTTAAGACATTATTTTTGTGAATGTATATATCTGTATATTTATAAATCACATATAAGTATTACTTGATTAAAATTACATTTGTACAGTTACTTAAAAGTTACTGGAAAAAAACAAGCATTTCTCATAACATGTGAAAGTATTATGTTTCAGGTTTTTATAGCACATTGCTCACATGAGCATTTATGGTCGTCTTTTGTACTGATTCTTGACTTATATATGCCTTCTAATTTTGTGGTATTTGTTATTTCTGGTATTTACTGCTTCCTTTAAGTTATAATAAACATTATTTTTGAAATATGAAATAACATGTGATAAAGTTTTCTTGCATTTATTGGCGCTCAGTTCCTGTAAAAGTATGTGGCAATGACTTTGGGAGGCAGGAGGAAGAGCTGCCAACTAGATAACTAGCGTGTAAGAGATCTCAGCCCGTAGCAGGAGGGAGGGTATAGGAAATGTTTCAGATGAGATTGTCCCATTTTCCCAGAGAGCAAAAGGAAAGGAGGGGAGAAATATTTTTCAGTTGTGCAAAATTCTGTTAATATAACCTTACAATAAAGACAGAGCTTGTACTTCTAGTCCGGACTACCTGTAAGGGCTCATGGGTGTGTAAGGCTTTCAAAGCAGGGTTTAGACATCATCTTCCTGCAAATATTCCTGGACACTGAATTTTTTTTGTTGTTTTGTTTTTTTTGGAAACATGTTTTATTGATTTTTTTCTTTCACATAAATATTTTGTGAACAGAGTATTGAACCGAATCATATCTTATACAACTTATCATATCCAAATACATTTTACATAGTTTCAATTTCTGCTAAAATATTCTTTTTCCCTATTTTTTTATCTTGTCTTAATACTTATATACTTATTATATAAACAGTATCACCATCCGCCCTCAAATCCTAATTTCTTAACATTATTTCAGTTGGTTATTTTATCTTATCCATTGTAATCATATATATTCTCTTTTAACTTGCATATTAGTTCGTTCTTCATCCTAATAAGTTTGAGTATACTCAGGGTTGCCCTTCTACCATTCCATCTCCTTTATTATACAACAATCCTTCTTCTCCTTCTGTCTTTCCCTTCCCTCCTCTCCTTCCCCTTCTCTCCTTCCCCTTCCTTTCCCCCAATCTTCCCTTCTTAACCTTCTCTCCTATTCTTATTTCCCCTCTCTTTCTTCCTCTCCTTTTCCCTTTCTTCCTCTCCTTTTCCCTTTCTTCTCTCCTCTCCTTCCTCTCTCCTTCATCTTCTCCCCTCCTTTTATCCCTCTACTCCTCTTTCCATTCTCTCCATTGTTGTATTCATTTTCAGTTCAATATTTTCCCAAATGGTATCTGAGCAACCCCAATTTTTTTCTCCATTTATTGAAAATGTTTCTCGCAATCCCCATCACAGTTTTTTGATTATTAACAATATATTTCATCTTATTCCATTTTTACATTGAAACCTTTTAATTTAACCTTCCACCTATTTTCCTTAATTCCTAATTTCTTATTCTAATATAAATTAATTATTTTATTTCATCATTTACTAACCTTTCAATTTTATATCTTAATTTCAGTTATTTCCATAGTTAAACCAAATTACATTTCATATTACATCTGCTGATCCATTTTACAATTAACAATATACTTAATCTTGTTTGCTTCTTACATACAATTTCTACTATTAGCACAATTCTCTTAAATCAACTAATAAATGCTTTATTTCCCTTCCTTCTCTCATTATTCTTCCCCTTTTAACCATTTTCTTTTGGCCTTTCCAAGATTCCACTTCTTAATATTTTTCTCCCTTTATCACATTCTCTTATTCTCTTCTTCATCTTTTTCTATTTATTGTATCTTTTCCCCTGAATCCTTTCTCTAACTTTTAAGACTGTTACCCTCATAATTCTCCCCCTATTTTTACCCAGTCTTTTCCCATTTCCTTCTCTTCCCTTCTTTTTTGGGGGATATTCCCCCTATCCATTTTTTTTTTTTTGGTAACTGTCAATCCCAGTGTAATTATCTATCTTTTTAGCTTCATTTATTTTCCGTTCAACATTGTATTCTTGCTTCTCATTTTTATTCTCTTTTTCCTTTTTTGTGTATTCTAACCAGGCTTCTGCTTCTTTATTGCCCTTAAATGCTTCACACACATTTTTAAACATCTCTATTAGTTCCTCATATTCCCAGATATTCTCCATATTGTCAATTCAAAATATTTTTTATTTTGCTTTGTTTAATTAAGATTCAAGTCCATGTAATCTCTTTTTTTATTTCCAAATAATATCCAGTTCAAATATTTATCTAGTCCATTTCACTTTAAAGCTTTGTTCTTTTTCACCTCCTTTCAAAGTCAAGACCCAGCTGTTTAAAAGTAAACAAATACTCCTTAAAATTTCTCATGATAGTCAAAGTCCTTGCTAATCCTTCAATTTTCAAAGCAATCATTGTAGTGCTTTCTTTCCACCAGCAGATGTCTCTCTCCAATCCACAAATCCCAAGACAATAAAGTAGCACGTTTAAATCCACATAGAAAATACTTTCTCTTCAATTTCTTTTCCTTTTATTGTTTTTAATTTCCCCAAATTCCATTTAATTTCTCCAAATCCAATTTTAAATCCAGGTAGAAAGGTTTTTTTGGGGGGGGTGAGGTTAGTCCTTTAACTTCCTGTTTGTTCTTCTTCCTCCAATTAAAATTCCCAAGTGCCAATTAGCTGTTATTTCCATGCTGGGACCTTCTTTTAAGCTTTTTAAAAAAATTATTTTTACCTGTGAGTTGGCCAATCACTCACCCGGTAGCAATACTCCATTCAAACATCGCTCCTGCACAAACCTCAGTCCGGTTGCCCCAGCTTCAGAGCGGTTGTTTTAACGGCCACCACCCCCACTGCCAGTTCAGAGAGTTGCCTCCAACCCTTCGAGGAACTTGGTCATCCGAGGCACCTCTCCTTCTTCCCCATCTCTCCAAGACAGTTCTGGTCCAAAGACTCCCCTGACAGCGGTTTGTCTGGCTGGGTTTTTGTGAGGCTCGTCGCAGCCCGCTATTTTCCAGCCAGGCTCTCCTCAATGCTTCCGGTTCTCCTTTCCTGGACACTGAATTGTTAACAGTTGTAACCTCTGCTCCCAAATGTTGGAAGCTATGATTTAATATTCAGAAGATAGCAAACTCTTTCCTTCTGCTTTAAAGCTTCCCTTGGTGCCTTAACACTTTTGGTAGAATGTATTTTTAAAAGGAATTTTAACCATCAACTTTGCTAATTTTAGAACACAGTTCAATTAGCAAGCTCTTAAATACTGGATTTTTCCAAAGGTGAGTTAGAACTTGCTGTTTATTGGAATGTGGAGCTGAAGAAGGTATCTTTTTAATTAATCTCAGTTGGTACCCAGAAAAGTTAAAAGGGTGACTGCAAAATTAATACTTTTTTAAAATAGGATTTAAGTAAACTAGAAAAACACAGAAATAATTCCATGCATGACATCATTAAGAATCTATGCTGTTACATTACACATTCTGTTTACAGAATTCATTACCTAGTTACCAATTATGAGTGAGTTTTGTAGTAACTGAATATTGATTTTTCCAGCATTTCTTTACTTGATAAAAGAAGTAAACTTCTTTAGGAAACATGGGAATTGTATTTAGTGCACTAAAAGCTTGTTATCACATGTATCGTGATAAAGTAAGGGAACCAGTCATCAAGCTGATAGATCCAATCTTCCATCACCACAAAATTAAAATATATGCTATGGATCTAAGAAATACAGAGCTGCCGCTGGAAGAAAGAGCCCAGGCTGCATTATATATAGGCCTACTAGCTTACACAGGTACACATGAAAGATTGAGCTAAGTTTGGGATAAGAGATTCAAATATTAATATATTCTACATTCATTGAAATAATATGTAATATATTATCCTTAAATTGGTGATGTCAAACCTATGATACATGTCAAAGGCGACATGCTACATTTTGGGTGATATGCCAGCATTCAGCAACCAACTATTTTTGAAAGCAACCCCATTATTGCAATTTTAGGCTGTGAAGGTTTCATGTACATGGGGTGTATTCTTGCATGACCTCCACTTCCTCTGGAATTCACGTGGGAGCGGGGGCAATACAAGAATGGGGCATGCTTTTGTGGATTTTTGGAGGCTGCTGAGCAACAGTCTTCAAGAACAGACCTGTGTAATCTGGAGTAGCCTCAGGCCAGAAGGGGGTGTAAGCAGAAAGAGAACACAGTCTGAAGGTAAGTAGGTATGGCAGATCATGGGGACTGGTGGGCCATGGGGCCAATTGCACCATTTTCCAAGCTGGTCTTTTTGAGTGTCAGCAGTGGCCCTAAGGTTAAAATCGACACCTGGGTCTCAACTTCAGGCCCAGCTTTGGTGCTGCCAAGTACCACTATTCACATGCAGATAGGGGGCAAATTATTTCTCTTGTTACGGGGGGGGGGGGGGAAGGGGTGATGCATCAGCAGAGTCAAGTTAGACATTATGCATTTTTGATACACAGCCCAAAACGTTTGCCATCATTCTCCTAATATCATGAGACCTACAGAGTTTATCTCGAGACACAGGTATTATGGGGTCTTCAGCAACAGCAGAACTTTGTATGCCTGCCTGTTAGTTGGGACTTAGAAGAGATGTGTTTTAAAATTACTATATTGTTAAAAAGGCCTGAAAATCATCACTATTAAAGTTCCCAACTGTTCAATAAAAAACGGTGCTTAGACGCAAGAATGGTAATTAATTGATCCTTTTGCTGTCATCATCTCATCTTTTTAATCGAGAGAACAAACTTTAAAGCCCATCCTTCCAATTTCACTCCAAGCCACATATGTAGTTCCACCCCCCCCCAAATAAGCCCTACCTCCCAAAAATAAGCCCAAATTAAGATAATCAGCACAGGGGCATGGCCAGCACCAGAGGTGGCGAGGGCACAGGGGCTAACCATGTCCACCAGCAGCTGCAGCCTGCACATCACAGGTCAGTTGATTACCTCTCCAAGCATCAGGCAGATGTAGGGGGAGGCACGTGATTTGGACGTGCCGTGCGGGAAAGTCAAGCGTCTGTGGGCTAGAGCAGGCAGGCTGCCCGCTCCGTCCCATTGTCTCTTGTGTTGCCTGCTCCATTGCAGCTGTGAGCAAGCAGAAGTGGGCCAGCGGCCATGCAGGGTCCTACTGGACAGGGCTGCTGGAGCCGCTGCCACGAGGCAGATTTCAAAGTGTGGATGGCCTGGCTGAGGGGCCCTGAGGTAAAGCAGTACAGGGCATGTGGGGCAGCTCCAGCCCCCCACTCGCAGTCGTGGTATTGGTGCACCACCCGGTCTCCTACCCCATTGCAGCTGCAAACAAGGTCCCCTACCCCATTGCAGCTCCACAGAAGTGGACCTCCCATACATGGGGAAAAATAAGCCCTAGTGCTTATTTTGGTGCCCCCCCAAAAATTAAGACTGGGTAATACATTTTTATTCAGGAAAAGTACCTTCCTCTAGTTTGTTTATGCTATTTTTTTCATTCAGGATTTTTTTTTACTCGACTTTACAAATTTCTTCAAATAAGATTTTTATTTTAGAAACTGACTCATGTAAGAGCTGTGCAGTGTAAAAAGAGCAGACCACAATGTAATTGAATACAGCACTTGCCAATCATATACCTATTATAGATCCTTTTTTGTGGCAGACACTTCTGCTTGTGACAGTAACATTTCCAGTTTCAGCTGATGCCTTCTTTGCAGACACATCCAACAGAGCCTGCTCTACTGGACTCAGAAGTTATTGCTCTGGGTTAAACAGAGCAGCAGAAATGCCATTTTGGTGGCTGTTCTCTCGTCTTTCAGGCAGCAGTGATAATACCTGCATTTAAATCATTTGAACAAATTCTGCAAGTTGAATGAGGGCAGGAGAGAAGAATGTGCTGTATCTTGTCATTTATTGAAAATTTGGGAAATGTCTTCAATGAGAAAGTGGCTCAGAATTTACGAATTGATTACTTTACAGGTGGTGTTGGTGCTGGAAGTTTTGCTTCACAATATATTCAGGACATGATTGATATTTTGATTATGCCAGATACATCCACAAAAGTAAGAATCTTAGTTTTAAAAGGACTATGTAGTGCATGCTACATTAACCCCGTAAACCAAAATGAAGCCAAAGCTCACCACCTTTCTGAAATTATCCTTTCCTATCTTGAAGAAGAGGAAGACTCTGCAGAAGCGGACCCAGATCTAGTCCTGGTGAAGTTCTGGGTTTGTTATCTTATGACTGTTGTTTGCTGTAATAATATGTCTTATATTAAATTATTTCATGAAATTGGTGGCCAAACACTAGAGAAAAGGCTGGAATACCTGTCTAACATGGAATGGTTTGGCTGGCCCCAAAACTATGCTACGTTAATGTACATGTTTATGGGATATCCAGGCACAGACGTATACAAATAGAATTAAGGGAATATGTGTTGGAACAAATAATTCTGCTACTGACAAGTACTAGGTCTTACTTTCTTCAAATATTTGACACAATAAAATTACTGCTTAGTGTTTAAACTGATGTTGAATTCTAAGATTTATTCAATCAATAAAGAATAAAAAAGGATAAATATCCCGAGTTAAACTCAACGGAACTGATCTTTATTGCTTGTTGCCTGGATGTTCAATTTATTAGTCTAGCATCTAATCCTGGGATCTCATAGCAGTCTTTCGAGAATTATTCACAATGAAGTCCCCTTAGCTATTTTTGTGTTCAGCCAAGGTTTTGGCTAGGTGATGGTGCCTGCTTTCATTCTGCTACATGCTATCAATCTGAAGAAATGCTTTATGAAAATGGTTTTAAGAACAATAAACAGCCTTCAAAACACAAATTAGCTGTTATGCAAATAACACCTCATGTACCATTACTGTTAAAAATTATTGAAAACTATTAGGAATCCCGTTAAGCTAAACATTTGATAATTATGGATCTATCTGGTTTTAGATTGGGAAAAAGTCTTACAATTTGTGGAGAAGAAAGTTTCAGTTTGACTGACTGAGGTGATGCGGCTGTAGATCACTTTAGCAGGGGAACTCCCAGTTGGAAACGGCTGCAATCCCTCCTATCCCATGTAGTCAAAACTTCAAAATAAAATATTTTAAAAAAAGTTTTGTCTAATAAGGAAAAAAATATGAGATCCACAGTAGAAAGGTAACTTTAATAAAACTAATCAAAATGGCACAAAATAATAAGCAGCTCTAAAATTTTCTTGAAATCTTTATCAAGTAAGTTACAAAAATCAGAAGAAGCAAGGCAAAAAAACAGGTCAGATGATGTACAGATTAAACATTTATGCAAAGTGAAGTGGTCAGGGCAATTCATTTCCCCATTAAATGATTAATCTACTCAGCTAAATATAACCCAGTGGAATTAAATATGTTCTCTTACACTGCACTAAGATTTAACAATAAACGTAGAAACAAAATATGGTAGTTTTCTTCCAAATACTGTTTATTCCATGCACAGGGCTAATGAGAGGGTAAGATTGAGGGGTCTCAAGTGGGGATTTAATAAAGTCATTTTAAAAAATATTTTGCATTTAAAAGGCACTACCTTTTGAGACAAGATAAACTTGCAAATTAATCCTGGAAAACAGAAGCAGAGGCATGTCTAGTTTGAGAAGAACTGAAGAAAAATTATTAACTTCAAAATATTTGGGAATTGTGCTGTAATGGAAGAGGTCTCTAAGCAAGGATAAAAATACATGCCAGATTAAAACTAGATGGTATAATATGATGTATCAAGAAATAAGTTCCATTTTGAAGGCCATATAATTGTGTGGGTAAATTTATTTAGTAATTACAAATGTCATAAATGAATAAAAACTTATTTACAAACTGAAATACACAGTATTTCCAATTAATAAGTGACTACATACAATCAAATACTTTTGGTAAGATTGTTAGTCACTCTGCAATACATTAGTAGTGCAACCCATCCTCAAAATCTTAGATAAATCTGTAGTTTTCAGAGGATTTCTTGATTGCTCCGCCTCCCCCCCCCTTAGAGCCCAATACTTTTAGAGGTTACTTTCTCAATTTAGAGGCACATCTGCAACATCATCTGTAGAACTGTTGGAAAATTTTGAATGTTCCTCTTCAGATTCACCATCTAAATCTTCCTCAGCAGAATCATTTTCTTCATATTCAATTTCTTCCAGATCTAAACTTTTCAAAATGTCTAGGCTTTCTGGTGCTTTTCCAGTTATTTGCTAGATAAGTGAAACAATGGTGTTAAGACATTCTATTCTTGATAAATTTAGCTTTACATTTCAAATTATACTTATATAAAATTATATATAAACAAACTACCGTATTTTCGGAGTATAAGACACACCTTTTTTCCCCAAAAAAGAGGGTGAAAATCTGGGTGTGTCTTATACTCCACAGAATGGTAGAGTGTGTAGTCCCGCCCAGCCTCTCAAATGGAGGTTTCAGAGGCTGAAAAAAGCCTCTGAAACTGAAATGGAGCTTCAGAAAAAAAGGCAGAAGTTTCAGAGACTGAGAAAAAAGCAAGCCACAGAGCTCACAACCAACGAACCAGTTGCTAAAATTCACCTTTGGGAACAGTTGATTGGGGGTATTCCAGGAGGCCGATCCACCCGCCAATCAGCTTTTTTCTTATTTTCCTCCCCAAAAACTAAGGTGCGTCTTATAGTCCAAAAAATACAGTAAATGTATAGATTGTCCTTGGGTTATGACGGCAACTGGGGCCAGAATTTCCATCACTAAGCAACTCAGTGATGAAATGCAACAATACATGACTACATCACTTAATGAAGGCAATGTCAGAAGTCCTTGTTACTTTTGCAATGCTAGGACTGCATGTTCCTGTCATTAATCAGGAAGAGGCAGGGATCCCAGGAAAATAAGCTGGTAGGTGAGAGCTCTGGGCAAGGGAGGTGCTGCAGATGGACACTATAGAATGGTGGAGTGTGTGTGAGGGCCACTAAAGGCAGGTGCCAGAGTGCAGGTAAACACTGGTGAGATTTTTGAGATTGCTCTCTTACTAGAATTAACATTCATTCCCTGTTGTGCCTTCTGGTTTTTTTTTTTTCTAATTATGATTGACTTTATATATTATTTTTTAATATAGTGTTGTACACTGCTCTGAGGCATTCCTTGTGAGATGAGCAGGCATAAAAATTTGAAAAAGGTCTAAGGATTAACAACACATAGTCTACACACTGTGCTCATCCTCCCTGGTGGCACAGTGGTTAGAATACAGTATTACAGGAAAACACTGTCTCCAACCTAGAATTCAATTGTGAGGGAGGTTCAAGATCGACTCAACATTCCATCCTTCTGAGGTGGGTAAAAAGAGGACCCAGATTGTTGGGGGCAATATGCTGACCTTGTAATCTGCTCAGAGAGGGATGTAAAGCACTATGGAACAATATAAAACTCTAAGTGCTATTGCTCAACCTCAAAGTTGAAAAATTAAGATCAGGGTTTAAAAGATCATATCTGCCTTGCAAAGGAGACTTGTAGCAGGATATTCAAGACCACTGTTTCCTCCACCTCACATAGATCAATCATTTACTTACTTTTTAATTTCCAAAAGGCATAAACTCCAGTCAACATTTTGTTTTATCAACTGAGCAGCTTACCTCTATTATATTTGCCATATAATGAACATGGCCAGCTAGTTCTGCCAGTTCTTCATTTTCTTCTTTTAGACGAGCAATTTCACTAGTTTTTAATTCAATTTCTTGATGCAACTAGAGGAAAAAGAAGATTTTAGATAATGCAAATTTCCAAAGCATGTCTTCTGTGACTTCTAAGAACATTACCTTTTCATTTTCTTGTAAAACCTCATGCAGGGCTTTCCTCCTCTCCTCAGCCAATTCCTTCCAATACTGGAATGAAGGATTGCCTGGGGGAAAAAAACCTCATAAGTACTGATACTATAAAGGAGGGGTGGTCCACCACAGAAACTTTACAACTTCAACTCCTAGAATTCCTAAACCAGCCATATTGACTCAGGAATTCCAAGAGTTAAAGTCCACAAGTCATAAAGTTACCATAGTTGCCCACCAGATATAAAGTATGCTTTTAACAGACATCATATGAAACACTATGGTGTCAGTGTTCTTAAAAATCTAGTCGATTCCAAAATTTTAGCAATACCACATTTTAAAAAACACCACCATATTCCTCATGGTAGTGGCAGATAGGGAAAAAGACCACCTCCACTCCCAGATTATTCCAGAATTATCTTGAAGGCTGACCCAGCTGGAACCACAGGTGTGACAGTTGGGTTAAAGTCTCATTAATTTACCTATCTTTTAATTTGCTTTCTATTCTACCTTGAAGCTCAAGTTAAACTCCTGGGTTGGGTTACATGACCATCTCAAACAAGAGAATGTCAAGAGGGTCTCTACTCAAGCTCAATTAAAATTATTTGCACTTGGGTCACAATCTCTCCAGTATCTGGGTGCCCTTATTTTTCTGTCCAATCCCCAACTCCCGGGCCATGGCTTGTTCAAAACTGGGCTCCCTGCTCTCTGTGGGAAAGATGGGCAAGATGACACTCACGCTCGCAAGTCCACCCACACAAGCGGAAAGCACTTCACACATGAGCACAAGTGCCCTCCCCTTGTGCAAGTGGAGCTTTGCGCATGAGCACAAGCACCCTCTGCTCGCACACAACGCTCCATTTGCGCAAATGGAGGGAGCGTACACCTGCTGCTCACAAATGGACCTGTGCAAGTGCTACTTACAAGCCCTCCCAATGCCGGGCCAGCAAGCAGAAAGGTTGAGGACTGCTGATCTAATCCAGTATGGTAATTTGTTATGGTATTTATAGCGCCGTTGGTGGAACAAACCTTTTGCTGTAAGATCGGAAGGTTGGATCGCTCCTCTTATGTTTCTGTGTTCTATTTTATCAGCAGCCTCGGGTTTGGATACTTTTGAGATAAGCTGATCATTGCAACATTTCTTCTTGATTGAAGACTTAGCCTGCTACAAATTATGAGCAGTTTAATAGATCTTTAAAGGTGAAAGACAACCTATTCTTCCATCCATTTAATTTTAAAACAAAAAGTCCAGAAAAAAATACCCTAATCAAGGAACTACCAAGGAGAAAAATCACAACCCCACCCAAACTGGGAAGTCACTGTGTAAAAATAGGAAGCAACCCACCCCTCACCCCACCCAGATAATGTTACCTGGGTACTGAAAGGTCTGCAACCAAACAACCAAGCTCAGAAAGCACCAAAGTTCAAACCTGAGCTACATATATTCTCTACTATTGGAGAGTCCAGTTAGGGTTCATATTAATATTACCTTGAGCTGCGATGACAGAAAATGAGTCACTGATCTGTCTTAATGTAATGTTCAGTTCAAGTTGTTTATTTAAGCCAGGGCAGGAAACCTCTTAGGGTCATGAGAGTGCAAGGTGGACAAGGGGCAGTGTTCTCCAAGTTTGCTATACAGCTTGGTCTGCTTCATACTTCAGAACTGTTGTTTTGCAGGCTGCCCACCATTTATTTAGGACTCTTTAATACATACCACTTAAATTAGCAGCATAATTACAGTTTAATTAAAAGCAAACTACAATTCCTGTGCCAGTTCATAACTAATCTAACTAGATTCTGTTCCAAAAGAAATACATACCTCATTTGTCCTGCCCACCAGGCAACCTGTAATAGATGGCTGTATCATCTTAAGGGTCTGCCTCTGTGATGTGCAGTTTGTATTATTTGTAGAAACCTGCTGGGAAACAACATATAGAGGAAGTCAAGTTTTTAAGCAGACTATATTAATATTTAAACACTACTAATATGCTCACATTTAGTAAGAATATTATGTTTGATGGGAACTTTTTCTAAAAGTTAAAACATGTAAAGTCAGTACTTGTAAGTCAGAACCTCCTGGCACTGTCCCCTCATGACAGAAATCATAACTAGACCAGGGGTGGGTTCTACTTTACTACTGGTTTGCAGCGGGGCCGCATGTGTGTGCTCCGCTCATGCATGCGCAGAAGCGTTTTGATGACATCGGGGTCAGTGGGCGGAGCCTCCCGCCAGTTTTACTACCGATTCTATAGAACCGGTGCGAACCGGGGGCAACCCACCACTGAACTAGACACATTCATTCAGATGTAGTTTTACTCTGCATTATTTTCAATTCCAGAAGTAGGTTGGTGATCCCTAAGCAATTATATACACTCAGGTTAATTTATACACTGTTAAGTCTATCTTTGCACTTTAACCAGATACTACAGAATTCAGTCTTGTATCAACAGTAGTATTTACACTGTGCCTAGAGTGGAAGTAAACTTCAAAGTAGTTCTGCTTATTATAATTTCATCAATAGTAAAGGTTACTAAAGGTTGAGAGAGAGGTTTACATATACAAGTAAAATACTGCATAGAGTATATTGTGCTTAAGGTTCCTATTTGTTTAAGAGACAATATACCGATCTAGCCGGAGCACTGGGTTTTTGGAGGGGGGGTAGGAAGAAAAGAATGCCTGGCACCCTGTCATGTGTAAATAGCAATATCCTGCATTCTTTTTTTTTTAAGTTACACTGCCACCATGAGATAGTAAACAATAGTAGATAATCAAACAGGGATAGCAGGAACATAATGTCACACTAGCGTGAGAAAGTCTGTGATTCACACTATATTTCACCTGACAAGTGCTAACCTTTCCCACGGTAAAGTCTCTGCTGCCAATTAATTTACTGTTGAACTTGAGGACAACTGCCAGCTACTTTGGGAACAAACACTGCACTAATTTCAGATTATAACTGTAGGTATTGAATTAGATTCAAGAAATATTCACAGCCATCCCTTGCTTGGATTAACCTATTACTTGCAATATTTTATGTTTAACCAAATAAGTACCGATGAAAGTTAAAAAGATAGCAAGTACAAAGTAAACATGAAGAATGTTGATGAGCAAAGAACGCATTAGTCCGATACTCATTTCATCTCAAGACAATGTAGGTCTTTTTTTATCTCATTATTATTCCTTCTACTGTTCTTTGCCAGTAGTGCCATAAGAAGTTTCTGTATACCTTTCATTACCCTTTAGGTGAACAAGGAGACAAGTTCAAAGGGCAAAGTTTTATCTTGTAACTGAAGATGAAACTGGACTAAAATACTTCAGGTTATTCCACAACTCAACCACTTTTGTACAACTTTGTCTTGTATGCTTTCCTGGATCACAAGACTCTGCTTACAGTCAGTCATACTTTAATGACCTCCCACGTTTATTATTGCAATGTGCTCTATATGGAGCTAACCTTGAAGAACAACTGGAAGCAGCAACTGGTGCAGAATATGGTAGTGCAAGCAGTAATGAGCCATGATTCAAAACTAGCACTAAGTTTTTTTCAAGCTACTTGAGAAATTACTAAGGAACAATCAGTCCCATTAATTTATTATGCAATTATTTTTATAAATCTGATTTTGGCAATGATATGAAATGCAGTTTTCTTTCTTTTTACAATTCAAGTCCATTCATAAGCATTTTTTCCTTCTACAAAAATCTGCAGATGATGATTTTAGAACAGGTATTTGAATAAATCTTTTGAACTCAAGAGTCAATTGGAGTTGGGTGGTATCAGCATCAAATATACAACTGATGTTTAACAACATTCCAGATGTCATCTGAGGATAAATGTTCATATGTTGTGGGAATCAAATGAGACACATAAATGGTCTGTTGACTACTAACTTTTTTCTTGTATTACCATGCTAGATGGTCAATAGAAAACTTACAGCTATTCAATTACATTGTTTATGTATACATAATGTTGCTCATTAACTCCCAATTCCATGTTAATTTTCCCACCCCAGCAATGCCTGATAAGCCCACAATTAGTATAGTTAAAGATCTGAGAGCTAAACCATGAAATCCAGCCCTGGAATAGCAAGGGATATCAATGTATTTCTCAAATATTGCTAGATGTTTTAATTAGTAGATCAGTTAGCTAAATGTTTTGGAAACTAATAGGGGTTTTTTTTTTCCAAAAATGACCCTTGATTTAAAAACTGTCTGAAATTGTTATAAAACATTTCAGTAACAGTAAATAATTAAGTATAACTTCTTGCTTTTAAGATATTGAGATTAACACTATGAACAAAAGTAACATAATTGTTCAGTTAAAGATATACTTTTAGCAATTCAAAACTGAATTCCAGAAATGAAAATTATTTTATGTACATCTGTTGACAAGGTTATTGAGAACAGCATTAAGTATTGAAGTCCTAATTTTGGATATTATACCTTCATGTTTTGTCCATTTCTGGAAATACTGAAGCTCACTTTCTGAAAACTTTGAAGTGCTGTTTGCATGACACATTTGAGTATCACGGGAAGGTTAATATTTCATGTTTAGTAAACCCTTTCAAATGATTTAAAAATTTTTATTGAAGAATTAAATTTAATTTTTACAGATTTGTCTTCTTTGGGTTAAATTAAGTTTGTTCACTCAACCATGTCAAGTGAACTATTGTTGGGATGTTATATGACCATAACACCTCCAAGGATCAATGTTCAGCCCTTTAAATTGTAGAAGCAAACCTTGACTTATAACCACTTGAAAGTGTTGGAAAACGTGACTTACAACCAGTCCTCACACTTACAACTATTACAGCAACCCTGCAGTGATGTGATTAAAATTTGAGTGCTTGGCAACCAGCATATATTTATGCCAGTGGCAGTTTTTCCCAGGGTCACGTGATCTCTATTTGTGACCTTTCCAGGGCCTTCCAATAAGCAAAATCAATGGGGGAAGTCTGACTCCCCTAATGACCATGACAAAATAGTCGTAAAATCAGGTATGTCTTATTTAACAACCACATCACTTAGCAACAGATGATCTGGTCCCAAATGTGTTGGTAAGAATCACATAATCAGGAAGAATGGGACTTGGACCTAATAGTCAGCAACTTTTTGGCTTGTTGTCCAACAGCCTTTCCCACATTTTTCTGAGCTATTTTTCCCCTTCCCCTGACTTAAGATAGCCAATCTTCTACATAAAACTTTGTTAGTTCCTTCACCAAACAGTTCTGATCCCATTTTGTTTATTATTTGTGCTCATGGGCAGAGTTCTGATCGATTTACAATTTCTTTCAAATATTGTTAGGTTGGAAGTGACACAAGAATTGACCTCCTGACAATCTCCTTTACCCTTGCAGGTAAAATTATAAAAACCAGCCATGTCATACAATGTTGGGACAAAGAAGTGAATTAAAGGATTAAGATGCCTAGGATGTTCATGTTATGCTAGTAGTCCTAAATATACGAACTCATTTAGGAAAAGTTCCGCATCATGTATGACATAGTAAAAGGCTCTTTTTGGACTTTAACTCACATTCACATAATCAACATGTAATTGTACAGGATATTTGTTACTGGACTTCCTATATATTCTCTTTCCAATTGCCACTGTGTTTGGCCAATTTGATGTCAGAAGTATAAAGCAATTAGCCCTCCACTAGCTATTCCTTCCCTGCCCTTAGTTAAGACATTAAATAACCTTAAGCGTCAAAATTATATGTATTGAATGCCCTTCAGTTCAACAGAAAATGAACTTTAGTAAAATAGTTGCATTCTGTTATCTTCTGTCAATGCAACTTGACAGCAGAATAATCTCTCTCAAATGCTAAATTAGAACTAAAGGGAAAAAAATAAAGTGTTATAGTTTGAACAAGTGTTGATTCATATAACATGGAATTGTGCTTTGTATATTAAAATGAAATTTATCAGCCCAGGTTATTAGTTTTATACACAAAATACCAGTTTAATATCCATGTATTCTATGACATATAACATTTATAGGAAATAACAAGAGTATATGAACAGCAACTGCTATAGGTAGTCCTCAATTTACGACCACAATTGAGCACAAAGTTTATGTTGCTGAGAAATTTGTTAAGTGAGTTTTGCCCCATTTTATGACCTTTATTGCCACAGTTGTTAAGTGAATCACTGTAGTTATTAAATTAGTAACCTGGTTAAATGAATCTGGTTTCCCACATTATCAAGTCGCAAAAGGGGATCACATGACCCCGGGACACTGCAAACGTCATAAATATGAGTCAGTTGTCAAGCATTTGAATGTAACTCATGTGACCATGGGGATGCTGCAACAGTCATAAGTGTGAAAAAGGGTCATAAGCCACTATTTTCAGTGCCATTGTAACTCTGAACGGTCACTAAATGAACTGTTGTAAGTCGAGGACTACCTGTGTTACTTCTTGATAAGTGTTGACATTAGCACTTCGTTAACATACTAGTTACCTTCACAGAGGGCTTTTCAGTATTTGATTGCGGCTTCATTTTAGAATTCATGTTTCTTTTTAAAGCCAAAACCTAAAACAAGCACAATGAAAACATTAACACAAACAAAATTATCCTGAGCAGCCAAAGTCCCTCAAGCTCTTTTCAAGCATCGGGCTAAAATTTCATGCTAGTTATTCTGCATTGGAAGCTTGGAACATTATTCTGCATTGGAAGCTTGGAACATTATTCTGCATTGGAAGCTCGCAAATAAAAAGAAAGAAAAGAAACTTGAGAACTTTGGAATAAGAATTCACAATATCCACACACACACACAAAAAAAAACCAACTGGCTTCTGAAAAGGACAAGCCAGCCTCATGTTGCATCTTGCACCAGAATCCTCTAATTTTAAGGTGAAAGCAGGTCACCAACAAAAAGCAGCACTTGCAGCTACATGTTTTTTTCCACCAAGACTAAAGCAAGCCCTGGGGCTTTATTTGCATGCATGCTTTTTTTTTTCTTTAAAGGGCCAAAAACCTCATTTAGAAAGCATCTCAATCCCTCATTTAAATGACCCGAGTATCACTTGATTAAAAAAATATTATTTTTTTTCCATAGGCACTTAGTAATTTAAAATAAAATAAAATTTAAATATTAAGCCCCACTGACCTTAAGTAGATTTGCACTGCCTTAACTTCTGAAGTCCCAGCCTACCTTTTAAACCTTGACTAGCACTGAAGCTGTTTTTAATGGGGGGGGGAAGGAACCCCCCAAATTTAGGGGTGATGAAATGGGAGGGCAGGCTTGCGTGCCCCGATTAGCCAGCCCCAGGAGATCCCTAATGAGGATGGACTCCATCTCCCATTCTCCCCGGGAAGGATGTCGGGAGAAAACGGGGTGGGGTGAGGAAAGAGAGGGAGAGCTGGGCAGCGCAGGGATCCCAGGAGCGACTCAAGGGGAGGCGGCTCGCCCACAGGAAAATGGCTCCCCTTCCCCTCCTTCAGTCCCCAGCAAAAGCGTGTCGCCATTCCGAAAGGATTCCCTCCCCCCCTTTTAGAAAAGCGCCTCTGAACCCGTGAGAAGCGCGGAAGGAAAAGGGAGAAACGGCAAACCTGGGATTCGAGGCTCCCCTTGAGAGGCCGCCCGCCCGCCGAAGCTCCGACCGCGACTCCCGCGCTCGCTTGAATAAAGGAGCCTTTCGCGCGCAGCCCTAAAGTCCTCGCTGCGTCGGCGGGCGGGCCTTGTGACGCGAGTCAGCCCCGCGCCAATACCCGTCCGACGGTCCAATGCCTCTAGCCTATCAAATCCCGTATTCGGAAAATCTAGAGCCAATCGGGGCTTTCCTTCCTCTAAAGCTGCCCACCCCACCCTCCATCCACGTGAATTGTGCCTTTTTTTTTGCCTACCTGATGTTTGGAAGAGGTCGTCTGTGGGGGGCTTGGGGGGGGGGGGGGGAAAGGGGGGGGCTGCTGGTAGAAAAGTTTCCGGGCGTGGCACAGTCCTTCGGGGCTGAGTCCTGCGCATGCGTTATTCAAAAGCAAACATTCTTGAGTTCAGTGATAGCGTCTGGTATTTGAGGCTTCCTTTCAAATCAATGAGTAGGGCATTAAATCTTCGATCCGTGGGAAGGTCTGCCCTGGCTGAAGACCCCTTAGTTAATTGATTTATTTATTTGTAGGCCGCTCACTTCATAAGAGTCTGCTAAAACACAATAGCATAATCGCCTATGGAGATTCTCAGTCATCCAGGTCATGGTTTTCCCAAAGGTGCTTTTTCAAGAGGCAACTGGACTTTATTTTTCTTTTAAGACGTTTCGCTTCTCATCCAAAAAGGTCCTTCAGCTCTGAGTTGAAGAAGCTTCTTGGATGAGAAGCGAAACATCTCCAAAGAAAAACAAAGTCCAGTTGCCTCTTGAAAAAGCACCTTTGGGAGAATAGCATATTCAAAACTTTTACAGCTGTAAAACATAACATGCAGTTTTAACCTGCAAATGATAAAAGCAAGTGGGAAAAAAATGATAACCATTAAGGGCAAGCATTCCTGTGGCCAAAGGTAGGGAAATCCCACCAAGGTCCATGGCATCAAACACTGGTAAGAGATCTAAATAAGATCAGAAATGATATACAGGTAGCACTTGACTTAACAGCAGTTCATTTAGTGACCATTCGAAGTTATGACAGCACTAAAAAGTGACATCGCTTTCCACAGACAACCGTTGCAGGTCAGGTGATCAAAATTCAGCCGCTTTGTCAACTGGTTCATATTTGTGACGGTTGCATTGTCCCAGGGTCATGTGATCACCTTTTGTGACCTGACAAGAAAAGTCAATGGGGAAGCCCGATTCAGTTAACAATTGTGTTACTTGCTTGACAATTGCAATGATTTGCTTAATAGCCATGTCAAGAAAGGATGTAAAATGGGGGGGGGGAAACTCACTTAAATGATGTATCACTTAGCAACATAAATTTTGGGTTCAATGTTGGTTGTAAGTCGAGGACTACCTGTACTCCTTCCATCCAGGTTTTTCTTAATAAATCCTTCTAAATCAACTCCCATATCAACATTAATGCAAGCTTAGACCACTGTGTTATCTTGCTCAATATTTTCTGCATTTAGGGCTGGCAAGTTTGGGAGAGAGCAGTGGGTGCATTTATATTTTTTGCAGGAAAATGGTTTACAGTCAGCGGCCTGTCTATTGAGATTGGGGGGTCTTGAAGCAGCCCCTTTTTACTGACCCAATTTAGAATCTTTTCCATTCTTTCCTGGATTACCTATTGGATTTAGGACTTTTTATATAAAAACAGGGGACCCATCTTCGGCTCCATCGTTAGCCACAGACATTCCCTGGGTGACATGGGCCAGTCACTCTCTCACCTCACAGGATTTCTGTAGGGAGAAATGGGTGGAGGGAACACTATGTTTGTCTCCTTGTGTTCTTGAATGAAAGATGACCACAATTGAGCCCAAAATTTCTATAATTGAGACATTTGTTAAGTGAGTTTTGTCTCATTTTACGACATTTCTTGCCACAGCTGTTAAGTGAATCACTGCAATTGTTAAGTTAGTAACCCAGTTGTTAAGTGAATCTGGCTTCCCCATTGACTTTGCTTTTCGGAAGATCGCAAAAGGTGATCACATGACCCTGGGACACAGCAATCGTCATAAATATGAACCAGCTGCTAAGCATCTGAATTTTGATCACATGACCATGGGGATGCTGCAAAGGTCGTAACTGAATAATGGTCATAATTCACTGTATTCAGTGCCCTTGTAACTTTGAACGGTCACTAAATGAACTGTTGTAAGTCGAGGACTACCTGGATAGAAATATACCGGTAACAACAAAAAAGGTTCTTCCACCAAAATCCTCCCCCATTATGAATTCCAATGTGAATAAAGTCAACATCATACAAAGAGTAGGTAAGATGATCAAAAAGAATCTTGATTGCCTTTTTCAGATTCATGACAATGGGAATAAAAATGCAGCGCCTTATATATCACAGTTCTAGTATACCAATTGGGGAAATTAATCTGCAGATGTTTCCCCAGCTATCTAACTTATACCCATGAAGCATCTGTTTTCCTTAAACTGGAAAATAGTGCAAACTGCTCCTTCAGCTAAAGCATTCATTCAAATAATTTCCCACATGCACTATAAATTAGTGCCATCAACAAATAATTACATTAATATGCATTAAATCTAAGACAAGGACATTTTACATGTATTTCACATTCTCAATTAAATGCTATTTAATTAAGAATGTCTATTCCAGAAATTTATGAAACAGGCTTTTAGAACAATTGGAACAATCATGGTAATAATAGCATTAATTATAAACTTGAGTTTCTGTTTATTTTCCTGTAATTTGTTTTTGGCTCTGATATCTCAGTCAGGTATTCATAATAATAGAGGTATTCCTTCTTCACCTCATGTAAAAGGTTTAGTGGACATACCATTACGTTTCAATCAGAATTCCCTTTAATTTCTTCAGCCAGGAGGCGTTTGCAAAGAAGCTCTTGTTTCAGAGCTGAAAAGGAGCTTATTTCACTAATTTAGATGATAGAGAGATTTGCAAGAATTATTATATATTATTATTGTAACACCAGAAATCCAACAGAAAAGCTTCAAGTTACACCCTTTTTTTTTAGCCCACTAAGGGCAAAGTTCTAGTATGTATAAAAACATGTTGTGACATTTACGTTCATTTAAACATTTTGCCAATCTCAATAGTTTTTCCCCTGTGTATCAGAATAGGTTTCAGTTTGTCTTCTTCAGAACAAATCTGTACATCTGGTGTTATGACTGTTTGCATTTCAAAAGTAGCTTGAACAAATATTGAGGTTTCTCATTGGGTTCACCCAGCTTGTTTTGAATGTTTGCTGTGCAAAAGGATGTGTCATTTGAAACATGGCATAGAAAATATCCTTATATTTTTTTCATAATATAAGAGTAGAATCACTTATTGGGTATAATGAAATATCTCTGGGTGAATGGTGCATCTCTATATTTTTGTTCTGGGGAATGCATTGGAAACCACATCACCTATACACACCAAATTGTCTCAAGGCAAACTGTGCTCAATCATGGGGATTCAACATCATTAAGAAACACATCACTTTATCCAGACCTCCAAAAATGAGACTAATAGCCATATACCACCAAAACTGTCATGTCTCTTTGTAACCTTCAGTTGGGCAAAACTGGAAGATATAAGAACAATTATTGAACCAAGATAACTCAAGTGGGCTAGCTTACAAAATATTGGGAACCATGACTCCGGTAGGTAGGTAGGTAGGTAGGTAGGTAGGAAGGAAAGAAGGAAAGGAAGGAAGAGTGGAAGGGTGGAAGAAGAGCAAGGAAGGAGGGAAAGGAGGATATACTAAGGATATTTTTGAATGATTCAGAAGTTAATTTTAATATTTCAATAGTGTCAACAGAGACATCTGCCTGTATAGAGAGATTGTGTCTAAGACATGTCATGGAAGAGGAACAAGTTGTACCTGACAAGACTGAGACTGAGGTGAAAGTAGATTTACAACTGACAGGCTACAAGAATGACACGGAAAAGAATGTTACACTGGACATGCAAAAGAAACCAAATGATGTTTTAATAATTAAAAGAGCTATACAAACCATGAGCTAAAATAATAATCTGGATATTTTTCCTATACTGGATTTACCAAAAAAGCTTGTTATAGCTTGAAGAATGTTGTGAGAAGGAACAATGAAAAAATGAAAAGAAATCAAGTTCTATGACATTATTTGATTGTTAGGAGTAAGGTGATAAGCTACAACATTTTTTATACTTGTGATGAAGATGGGAAGTCACCTCTTTAAAAGTCACTATACTTTTTAAAATTCTTTTCTCTTTATTTTTTCTTTTCTGCACTTTTGTTCTTCAATCTTGTTCAGTGTGCATTAGTTTTTATTGCTATAATTATCTTTATTAAAGTTACTCTTAAAAGAAAAAGAAATAGTTGCAACTACTTACCCAAGAGCTGTGGGAAGCAAGCCAGTACAAGCAAAATAATTGCATGTTTACTTCGAACTTCTTGATAACTCTATGAAAGTATTATCCTCAAAGTAATTCCCTGTTTCTTGGAAACTTGTTTCCAAGTAAAGGCATTAGTTTTGACTGTATCCATTTAATAGACTGAACCTGAAATTTCTAAGGTGGTTTAATAACAGATTTCCATCCCATCTCCTTCCTCTTAGCTGCCCATCTTTTCTTCAAAAAACCTCTTTGAGGGAGGAGCTTTCTTAGACATGTATTGGTAGATAAGTTCAGAGGGTTAACAGAATTGTCCATAAGTGGGGAATCTTTTGATTTTGACCTTCTCTCTGGCTACTGCTGAGCAGAAAAAGAAACATTGGTGCATCTTAACCTGAAATCAGAATAGATCTGGAAGGGACTTTAGAGGTCTTCCAGTCCAACCCTTGCTCAAGTAGGAAACCCTATGCCATTTCAGACAAGTGGCTGTCCAGTCTCTTCTTAAAAGTCTCCAAGTGAAGCATCTACAACTTCTGAAGGCAAGCTGTTCCACTGGTTAATTGTTCTCACTGTTCGGAAGTTTCTCCGTAATTACAGATTACTTCTCTCTTTGATTAGTTTCTGTCCATTGTTTCTTGTCTTGCCTTCTGGTGCTTTGGAAAATAAGTTGATCTCCTCTTCTTTGCGGCAGCCCCTCTTGTTTAAAAAAGCATGAATAATTTGTTGTAGAAATCCAGTGTTACCTAGAAAGGAATGAAAAAATTCTAGAGCAGCACACACAATTTGGCCAAGCTTGGTTGAAAAAATGCCCATTTAAAATTAGAGTTCAAATAATTGTTAGTATTTTAATTGTTATACAACCTGAATGTTTATAAAGATATGTGTGCCAATCAAACTAATTGCTATGTAGTAAATGGAAAATATTTCCTTTATCGCTGAACTTGAATGGAAGTCAATGGCAGCTTCCACTAGATGGCAGTCTAACCTTAATATTAAAGCTCTGTTCTTACAGCACTAAAGCAGTGCTTGCTGAATTAATCTTATTAACTGTGGCTTACACAACATATTCAATCATAAACTATTCTACCATCTTTTAGCATAGTATGTTGAGGAAATATAGTCAATAAGCATGATCAACAACATGTGAAAATCTGCTATGTTAGAGCAACCACATGCAAAAATCCAGATGGCTGCCAAGAGACACGGAGATCGTCTGTGCAAGATTGATGTCAGTCTCTCTAGGTAGACCAGACCAACAAATCAACTCTACCGGAAGGCTAAAACTGCTTTTATTGAAATTGGCTAAAAGAACAGAATTTGCCAAGTCTGATTTTACTGTTCCCATCCATCGATCTCAGCCGATTCCTTGTGTTTTATGGGAAGCTCTTGGGGATGAAGTAGGTAAAGAGGAACCTGAAGTGATGCTAGCAAAGAATGAGGACTGAATTTGTCCAGATGTGCATATATGGGACAATCTTGATAGTGCCATGTAACACTTCTATCAGGAACATCCATGTGTGTGTGTGTGTGTGTGTGTGTGTGTGTGTGAAAAAAGTAATAATGCCAGCTGTTAATCATGCAATAAAAACCTTAAATGAATATCCCAAGGAACTTCATTGAATATCAATGAGTCTTCAAGCTGCTGATCACTTTTTCCAGTCTAAATGAACAAAGAATTCCCATTAAGAGTCCCTATCAATTGTAAATGCATGAAAAGGGGCACGAACTCTGTGAAAGGTTTTTTCCTTTGGCCCAGGATCAATGATGCCTTCCCTTCTCATGACTTCTGAAACTTTGGCTGTTTTAGAAGGCCTTCAGATATAGATCAACGATGGTTATTGGTGCAGAAGATGAAGAACTTGATCTTAGCGCTATTATAGTTATGGTACTGCATAGGTATTGTACCATTATTGCTGCTATACATGCCATCTGGAATCCTTTTAGTTTGAGACAGTCTATATACATTTTATTACTAAATATTTTTCAACATACCTGTCCTCCGTTAATACCTTCAGCAGCTCCTTTTAAGACCATCCATGATACAGTAGAGATCATTCCCAGAGTTTGTGCTGATAAATTCCACAGGTTGATTATACATAGGGATATGGGCTTCCTTTTCTCTATTTTAATTCTCCAGTGAATTTTATTGGGTAGGCCCTGATCCTAGAATTTTGAGAAGAACCCCCCACCTTATTTTTATATGCCACACATGATTGACAGATAAATAATATGAACGGTGCATATTCCTGATAGGAGAAATAAGATAAGTGTAACAAATGTGTAACAACAAATGCAATGTGGGGTCCCATTGCTCAGTCTAATTCCAGATTCATTTTTTTGACGAATGAGCTGTAATGCATTCATTGTAAGTTACCCCCAAACAAGATTGCCAATACTTCTGATTCGTACCATCAAATCCATGATTACATCAATGCAGCAACAACACCCTTTTCCTTGGAGCCTATCATAAAAACAGAAAACTGACACCCCATAGTTGGGTAGCCAACTCCAAGCAGGGCCTCCCCTGCATTTTGATATGGGAGACCGTCAAAACACTTGCTTTTTTCCCCAAGGTTGACTCAGCCTTCCATCCTTCCAAGGTGGGTAAAATGAGGACCCAGATTGTTGGGGGCAATATGCTGAATCTGTAAACCGCTTAGAGAGGGCTGTAAAGCACTATGAAGCAGTATATAAGTGTTATTGCTATTTTACTAGGATGTGAGAGGCGTTTGGTAGTGATCCCAATACTGGTGGGAGCAGGGGAGAAGCAGTGTGATATACATCACACATTCCGGATTAAAGTCGAGCAACCAGAACTGTATACATAAATCTGGACTATCATATATGGCATCTAAGAGTTTCCCGCATGTACTTTATGACACACTTAGGGTGCTCAGATTGTCTCGCTCACTCTTTTTTCCACACTCCTGTCGACAAATGTTGTCTCGGAAGCACACTGTGCAACCTTGAACTATCCCACTTGACAGGACCTTTGCACATTTTAAACGGTGACGAGTTGGGAGAAGTGAAAAGCCCTCTCTTAAAGTATCTGAACCACTTTAGCAGTTGGGCTGCTAAAGGGCATTGCTAGAGCCGGGGGCGGAGTGGGGACTGCAATAGCAGCTTCTCAATAGTTGAATTGGACAGATGGAACCCGGTTGTTCCCAGATGAAAGGCAGGGCCGTCTTTTGCACAGCAAATGTTGCTTTGCGTGGCAATTTCACATGGCAGAAGCTCCGGGAGGCTTTGGCAGCAGCTCTTAAAGACTCCTGTCGGAAAGTATTTTGTGCCAGTTTACTCGGATCTCTGGATCCTGAACCATGCAAGCTTATGATTTAATTAAACGTGTCAGGTTTTGAGGAATCTCCGGATGTTCTGCTTTTTCAAGGGAAATGAAAATGGGTTAGGTTCGGAGAAGTGTCCCAAAGGTGCTTTCTTTTCCAAAAAGCAGCTGGACTTTCTTGGGTTTTTTTCTTTGAAAACGTTTCTCTTCTCAACCAAGAAGCTTCTTCAGTTCTAAATAGCGGGTGGGGGAATGGAAGGATTTATATTCTTTGCCGTCCTCTGGGCTGTTAAGCACTCAAATCCTTCTATTCTATATAATTTAAAACTGAAGAAGTTTCTTGGATGAGAAGCGAATCGTTTTCAAAAAAAATCCCAAGAAAGTCCAGCTGCCTTTTGGAAAAAGCACCTTTGGGACAATCGTGACCTGGATGATTGAGAATCTCCATAGACAGGAAAACTGACTTTTCAGTAGACTTTTCTGCTGATTTTTCTCTGAGTTGCACAACATTTTTTTTTCCAGTCATTAATTCAAACTTCCACTGGGTGGCTGTTTTGGCAGCTCCAGTTAGGCTTTGTGTTTACACAGTGTGTTTTATCCTATCTGGCACTGCCTTTGTGCCAGAACACAAACTCTTTGGCACCAAATAAACTAAAATTACGGCTACAGTAGTTAAGGGTGGCTCTTTTTGAAATAAACTTCTGCATTAGGCCAGAAAGTTAAGGAAGGAACTAACTTAATTTCTCTCATCTGCTAGTTCTTCTTCTTTTGACACCCAGGAGAAGAACAAAGTAATTTGGACAGTCATCTTTGGACATGACCTAGGAAGTTAAGCATGACCATATCTGGATATTATATTGATTGGAGACCATCAGGGGACTCCAGGACTATGAAGTTGAAAAACACAATGGGAGCAAATAGCAAATCCCTTCCATATGCTGCCAAAAATTGGAACAGAGTTACACTGGAAGGAGACTTTTCCCCCTATTTTATCTGCTGTGGCCTAGAGGTGGCGGTCTTGCCTCACAATCAGGCAAGAGCTCAATCCTAGGTAGAGGCAGATGTAGTGTCTCCTGCTTGGGCAAGGGGGTTGGACTAGATGACCTGAAAGCTCCCATCCAACTCTGTTAATCTTTGGTTCTCTTTGGCATTAGGCCAGGAGAGAAAACTCATCTAAAGGTGATCCTTTGAGTCCAATCCAGATGCTACAGAAATCCATGTTAAACAAGACATCCATATAACTAACATGGATAACATGAGCTCCCTGTTCATTTTAAAATGCCTGAATTTCTTAGCTGGGACAGGATGCTGGTCTACCTTTAACACAGTTAAATGTGAGGTGTAAACAAGCCTTTATAATTCAGGAGGTTAACATCCTCCTGTAGTTCATGATGCAAAGCATTAGTCCTTACAGGTAATAGATATGAGGGGAAAGTTTGACAGCACTTTGCTATATGTAAAAAAACAACAACAACCCAATACAGGCACCCAAAATCTTGCAACAATAAACTAATTTACAGTGAACAGCAGATGAAAAACTGCAACTGTAAACCGTCAACTAGAGAAACGTACAGATAAGCCAATATTCCCAACTCTGTACTTAAAAAGATAAACCCTCCATGCTGATAAAAATTGCGACTCAGATGTTCTTATAACCTGGGGGATCGGTGGAGTAAATTTCCCCGTCGTTTATTTGAATCCAGGATCTCTGGATTTAATACGAACGCTGAACTATTAACTCAGTCACTTGACGGGCTTTGTACGTTCGAACCACAATTAGCCTGTGATGCGGACTCGGTCTCTGGGTGACGCCAAGCAGGCACCGCCTGTGCGCGTATCTTAAGTTTACAGCGCCAGAAACCTCGCTGTGTTCATTGGGGCGGATTTATCGGCGGGGTTAAGACTGCAGCCTGTAACGGCCGCAGTCAGCTAGCTGTATTCTGCCTACACGCGCGCAGTCAGCCGGTTAGGTTTGTAAATCCCCTGCGAATCCCGATCCCCATCGGACTTTCCAAACTCTTTCCCTTTTCCTTTCCTTCTCTCTCTCTCTCTCTCCTCCCCGCGTGCTCGCCAAGTGGTACAGTCCGCCCGCAGAGCGCCTGCGCCGCGGCTGGAAAGGCGGAGCCTATCCGTGTGACTCAGGCGAGAAGGAAAGGCGGCGGCTGCCATTTTGAGAGGGTGTTTTTTTTTCCCCCGCTCCGACTGACGCTTCCTCGTCGCCTCCCGCTTCCTCCGGACCGAGGGGACCTCCTGCGCCGCGCTGTTCCTTCGCCTGAGAGGGGACAGGAGGGGGGGGCTTCGCTCGCTCTCTTTGCCTCCCGCCCTTCGAGCCTCGTAGCGCAGGGTCTGCCCGGCCCAGCCTGCCTTCGCTACTTCCTCCTCCCTCTCCTCTTCCTCCTCCTCCTCCTCCTCCTTCCTTCGCCGCCGCCACCATTTGCCCTCCCCCGGCGGCTCCGGGGCGCCGAGCTTAGGCTATGGGGACCAGGCTGCTGGGGCTGAGCAGCGGCAGTGCGGGCGGCCCGGTCGTCGTGAACAGCGCAGAGGGGATGGGGGAGCTCGGCGGCTTCTTGGTGGCTTTATCTTGACATGGCTCCTACCCGTGCTGCTAGCAGCGCCGACGCCGCCACCACAGCCTCCACTGCTCCGCCCGCGCCCGCCGGCTGCGGATAGCGAGGATCTCAGGCCAGGCCGCCCTCTCCGCTCCGCGCTCTCTCGCCGCCTGCGCCTCCCCGCCGAGGTGAAAAAAAAAGGAGAGAGAAATTAACTTTTTTTTTTTTAATTTATTTATGAGGGAAAGTTGAAAGAGGTGGGGGAGGGTGTTTGGTTTTTTTTATTTTGTTTTTTTATTTATTAAAAAAAAAAGGCGAACTCCTGTCAGAACAACTACGAAAGGGACGGGCGGGGTTAATCTCCCCCCATCCCCCACCCCCTTTTTTTTTTAAATGATTTGATTCGATTTAGCCATCTTCGCCTCAAAAGCCCCAAACGGCTATTTTTTTTTTCTCTAGCTTCTTTTTTTTTTTTTTTTTTTGCAATTGAGAACTTCTGGCCTCCCTCCTCCGTACTTTTCCTTTTGAAAAAGGAGGAAAATTGGAGCCAACTGAATGCAAGAGAGAGTCCCGGGACTGTGGGCTGAGTCCCCTTCCCTCCCCCTGCGCTGAGCACTAGGCCCTTCTCTTCCTCTTCAGGTCGGTTAAAAGGAAGAGGAAAAAAAGCAACGCCGAGGAGGCGACATCGCACCAGCCATGCCCAGCCCCAACTAAACAACAGTGGCCGTTGCGGCGGTGGCGGAGAAAGGAGGGATAGTTGATGGGGATAGACAGCAATTGGAGTATGTAGGTCTCTTCCCCCTGCTTAGGGGACTGCTAGATAGCCTGGAGATCTTTAGGCCGGCTACTCCCTTTTTGGCTTCCCTTTAAGCTTTGATTGATGGCCACCATGATCCCCGTTTTCTCTAACAGACGCGGCCTCGGGGCGACCGTGTGCCTGATTATGAGCGTGATGAAGTTAGAAATGACTCTGCTGTTTTCCAAACTTCTTGCTCTTCTGCAAACCAGCACTGTGTTGTCTGCGGTTGATGATTTTGTTAGTAGGGAAACGTCTTGCCTCCCAGGACATCCACTCCTCTTCTGCACTCCTTCCTTTGCTTTCTCCCAAGTCTAATCACCACTGAAAATTAAGCAGGCAGTATAGCAATAGCAGCAATCTTGGTAATAATAATCAGCAGAGTCATGAACCTGGGTGTGATAGAGTACTGTCTTTAATTTCAGGTTTTTGTTTGGGTTTTTTTGGAGGGCTTGGGGCAAAGAAACAGCACCCAAATGGATTGGGTCCATCCCCTTTATTCCTTTTTTAATGCATATAAATTGTGATAAGATTTTTCTCCTGTTCTTGCCCCTTTATTCCTGTGGTTTAAACTGTGTATATCAGCATATTTTCTTCAAAAAAAATCTTTTTGGGTAATATGTGCAAACCCTTTGTCCAGTAATGGTTGGACAACTACTTACTTTGTTTTATGACCCCTCTAGTAAGACAGTCTTGTAAAACAATTGCCTGAGGTGCACTTTTGGGGTTTGCCTCTGTTTTATTGATTCAGTGGTATAAGCAGGAATAAAATGACTTGTTTCTGTTGCACTTGAGTCTTATGAAAAAAGGGCCCACAGTTTAGTGACAGTTTCCAAAGGCTTTTGTACCATCTGTATTATAAAATGGGGGACCCAAACTCCCGGAAGAAACAAGCTCTGAACAGACTTCGTGCTCAGCTTAAAAAGAAAAAAGAATCTCTAGCTGACCAGTTTGATTTCAAGATGTATATTGCCTTTGTATTCAAAGACAAGGTAACCTTATTTGTTTGATAATTCAGCATATAAGATGCATATTTAATGATCTTGAAAGTCTTTTAGAATCAAAACATGGAGAATATATATATTAAAGGCATAAACTTTTCTTAGCATAAAAAATAGACTGTTTATTGAATAAATTTCTTAATGCACATAACCACCAAGTACCATAACTTAGTGATACTATTGTAAAGTTCCATTGTGTTTGTTAGTAAAAATTACAGATGTTCAAGTGTGGAAGGATAATACTTAATATTTTATATTGTGTGGGGTTTGTATGTATGGTATATGAGAGGAATATAGGTACCCAAAACAATTAAAAAAAAAACCCTAGCAAATTCTGTCTTTCAGCCAAAGTCCTGCTATTTAAAGACCCTGATTTTAATATTAGTATCTTTCATTGAATTAAGAGATTAATTTTGGCTTTGCATACATCCTTTTAAAACTAAGGTTTGAACTTCCTGATAATTAACTTTTCTAAATTTTATATTTGAACTTCAACATTTATTTCTTAGTAACAAATGTTTCTTAATTTTCTTTAGAGAAAAAAGTCAGCACTCTTTGAAGTGTCTGAAGTGATACCAGTTATGACCAATAATTATGAAGAAAATATCCTGAAAGGTGTCCGAGATTCCAGTTATTCCTTGGAAAGTTCCATTGAGCTTCTTCAAAAGGATATTGTACAGTTACATGCACCCCGCTATCAGTCTATGCGCAGGGTAAAATTATTTTTTTCTTCTATTTTCGACAGTCAAATGTTTTTCTTACAGTCCTTACTCCAGCTGTGCTTTTGGATCAAAGATTTACGGTCAAGTACAATTCTAAAAGCAGATGGTACTGGTTTTACTAAGAGAAATACTTCTACAAAGAGGTTCCTTCTTTTCTAATACACCTTTAATATTAATATTCAGTATGTCTTTACTGATATGGAATTCATTATGTTACATAGTAGAACTTACTGTATTTCTTTTAAAATCTTTGGGTATATAAAAAGACATGCAGCTTTTTGAGATTATGTTCATGAAGAATTTTTTATAGTAGAATATATGTATGGTTTGTCCCTAGTTTTAATTTTCCAAGTCTTACCTCACCTACTGTACTTCGTTTTCTTATCAGATATAATTTTAATAAGGTAAAATCAGTTCATTAAAATATATTACTAAATATTAATTATTAATATTACATATTAAATATTAATTCAAAAGTATATCTTAATCAGCTGCTTTGTCTTTAATTTCTCCAAAACTATCTTGTACAATATTCTGAGTTCTTATGTATCAATGAAGATTGTGATCAAATGAAGGACCCTGCCATAATGTAACAGCATTATCATGTAAAAATTGTGATTTGCCTATTTGTGTCAGCATCAAGTCATAAGTATATAATTGCAGTTGGGTGATAATGTCACTGCATGTATTTCCATTTTGGCGTCATCAGTTTTTTCTGTTGCCCCTGGATTCTTCTAATGGAAGTGGGGGAGATTATTCTCACAGGGTGGCCTTGAGTTATAACCATTATGGAGCATGCCTATCATGGTTAAAACTTGTGACGGTCATAAAATGGATTGGTCATGTGACCTGTCCGATTTTATGACACTCTTTGCAGCAGTTAAGTGAACATCATGGCCATAAAGCAAATGCCACGCTCATAAAGCAAACCTATGGTTTGCTATGGGCACAGTTTTCCTGAAACTGGAAGTAAATGCTGGTGTTCAACAAAACTGGTCACATGACAGCAGGATACTGCAAACATATGCAACTGTTACCAAGTGCCTAAAGTGTGGTCACGTGACCACGGGGTGGGTAGACTGTCAGAACTTTGAATCCAGGTCATAGGTACTTCCAAGTAGACTCTTTGGAACTTCAAACGGTCACTAGACGATTAGTCATACGTCGAGGGCTACCTATATTGTGTCCTTTTTCTTCAGCTTTTCTGGGCTCCTTCGGAGAATTTTTCAGTCAAAAATTTCTTTAAAGAACTTCACAGAGGAGGAGAATCTATAGAAATCATCTTCATTAGCAGGAGATACCTGTAAAAACATTACTCACAAGATGCTCTCCAAAGCAGGAGGTTACTGTTTATTCAAGATCTAAGCTAAACAGATTAGTGCTGACAGAAAAAACCCATGACTTAAATTCTATAAATTATGTATACTGGGTTTTATTAAAGCAGCAAATATTATTAAAAATTGTTTGAACAAGAGAATACTATGGTTCAAAACTGAATTATATGTGATGACTAAGTTTGATGCTTTAGTTCGAGTAATTTTGTGCAGAAATTTTTTAAAAATTTCCATGCTTGCATTTAACAATTGGATGGGGTACAGAGTGAGACATTTAAGTGAGTTTTACCTCATTTTACAACTTTTCTTGCCATAGTTGTTAAGTGAATCACTGCAATTGACAAGTTAGTAACCCGGTTGTTAAGTGAATCTGGCTTCCCCATTGACTTTGCTTGTCAAAAGGTTGCAAAAGGTGATCACATGTCCTTGGGACACAGCAACGATCATGATTCAGTTGCCAAGCTTCTGAATTTTGATCACATCATGGGGTTGCTACAAAGGTGATAACTGAAAAATTGACATAAGTCACTTTTATCAGTGCTGTTGTAACTTTGAATGATCACTAAATGAACTGTTGTAAGTTAAGGATTACCTGTATATGTGGGCTATATTTTAAATTTGAAAGATGTTTGAGTTTTGAGATTTCTTAAATTTGGAAAAAAATGTACTTAGAATTAAAAAATCTTAATACTGTATGTATATAAATTATTACATGTACAATTTTAATGAAGTTACTGATCAATACATATTTACATGCTATGCTATTGGATACTATTAAATGATTTTTATCTCTTCAGGATGTGATTGGCTGTACACAGGAGATGGACTTCATACTTTGGCCTCGGAATGATATTGAGAAGATAGTCTGTCTTCTGTTTTCTAGATGGAAGGGATCAGATGATGAGCCCTTTAGGCCTGTTCAGGTATGGCATATGCAGATAAAACTCAAGTAAGCAGATGGTATTTCAAATGAAAACCACTGCCTTTTAATGCTGATCAGATATGACACTTGGATTTTTGAAGCTGCAATTAGCAATCTGGTGCCTTAATGTTACTTTGAATACTACTGTGTACTCAAATCAGCCTGGACAATAATTGGCTATTATGGGGTTTGTAATGCAAAGAAAGCAGCAGGTATCTACCTGACTTAGTGTTGATTGCAACACCAGATGTGTACGTGTTTTCCCGAAAATAAAACCCTGTCTTATATTTTTTTAAACCCTGAAATAAGCGCTTGGCCTTATTGCCATGCACTCAAAAGCCCAATTGGGCTTATTATTGGGATGTCTTATTTTGAGGTTAACAGGGTATTTGTGAGTATGCATGCAAATGGATCTGGATGACCTTAGTAGATGTGATATATTGAAGGTTTAATTTGTAAGGCATTCTGCCACTTTAAAAATATTGCTTTATTTTCTGAACCAATCTCCTAGTTCAATAAGCTTATTTTACTTTGATTAACGCTGTATAACAAATAATGCACAAATTGGTTTTGAGGGCCCCAGTAGTTATTGGCACACTGAGTGCCATACCCAAAAAAATTTGAACAGCATTTGGAAATTTTGTCAATAAGCATATTTTCTATCTGTGGATTATAAAAGGCTTCAGTGCTTGGATTTGCACATATGCTATGCCAATACGTTATGACATCCTAGGTACTTGGGAAAAACCTGATGCATATGAAGGCCAGTATGAGCTAAAGAACTAGCAGTTGTAATTTCACACCTAAAAATTCTAATACAATAATTTAACAATAGAAAAAAATAGTTTTCCCAATTGCTAAATTTGTTAAATTTATATAGAATAATAGCTTGTATATTGGAATTCTTCTTGTGCCATATCCGTCATCGGACTTTGGCGATCATGTTAACAATCCTATTTTTGTCAACAGCTGCATGAAAAAGTGCTGCTGAGTTTTGTCCAAACCATATTGGAATAGGGGAGGCAAAAGAATTGAATACTTTCTTCAGACTCCGGGGTGCTAATTTGCTCATAATTAAGTTGGTGGATCTTAGAAGGCAACCCATGTTCCTTTCTTCTTTTTTTGTTCCCCTCTGGGTTTAGTTTCTTTGTAATTCTTTTGTCTTGCACTGAGTTTGTTTGTTTTAAGTGGGTTTTTTTGACAATTGTAGGCAACCCAGAGTTACTGGGCATCGGAGAGCATGTAATAGTTCAAAAAATATCTACACTTTTTAAATTTTGAATTAAAATATTTTTTGTTGTTGAATAGGCCAGGTTTGAATTTCATCATGGTGACTATGAAAAACAGTTTCTGCATGTACTGAGCCGAAAGGACAAGACTGGAATTGTTATCAACAACCCTAACCAGTCAGTGTTTCTTTTCATTGACAGACAGCACTTGCAGGTAAACTTCTTCCAGTATATAATAGTTGTTTCATTTATTATTTAGCAATATTATTTGTCATGACAGAACATTGAAGCTAGATAGATAATACGGTGTATACAACAAGCATTAAGCATAGTATTGTGAGGTATAACAGATTGGTTGCTTTTTTGTGTTTTGGTAGTGTAACGAACATTCAGTAGGCAGCATCCTTTTAAATTGTAGAATTGAAAAAATATAGATTTGATGCACACAAGCAAATATAAGAGTGTGTGCATCAATAGTGTTAGTTGTTTATCGTAGTACTGAGTCTCTACTGAACTTTTAAAGGGTAACTTAATCTAGCCTTGGGAAAAGCATTTTCTCTGTGAGAAAAAGTAAAGTATAGAACTCTGATAGTTGTATATCCAGTAAAAAAATATTATAAAGTGACAAGATTTTTAGTTTTGGTTTCCCTATGCTTCTTTTCAAGTTCCTAAATTATTTCTGAAGAGACAAACTAGGAGAAATTTAAAGCTTTTTTTCCATGCATAAAGAAACCCCTATCCTTGGTTCTGAAATTTATCTATTTTTTACAGACTCCAAAAAACAAAGCTACAATCTTCAAGTTATGCAGCATCTGCCTGTATCTGCCACAGGAGCAACTCACCCACTGGGCGGTTGGTACTGTAGAGGATCACCTCCGCCCATACATGCCAGAATAGGGTTCTGGCCAGCAAAATGGGGAAAATCACAGATTGCAGGAGTGTAGTTTCCACTTTCCTCGTCATTTATTCTTTCGGAATAGAAGAAAATGGACACATGCTCAGAACACTATCCATCGTGAACCTTGATCATCCTGGATTATTTTCTGTTATCATTTGTATCTCAGAACTTTTTTTTAAGATGTTTTCTGCATGGACTTTATGAAAGAGAATGCTCTGCATATTTCTGCATTGCATGAGCATCTTACCAAAATGTGAAATGAAGGGACTGTTACACACTGAAAGAAATGTTATCTGAGAGCACAAAGCGATCATTTATGGTGGTGTGTCCATTTGTGCTGGTCATGTCCCCTGTTTCAGTATTCATAGGGTGAAAAGTGAATGTAAGGGTGTAAAAGCCTTCTAAGCGTTGCTTTTAACATGATTGTATCAAAGCTGTGTCAGATTCATTCTGATGATGAGTTCTCTGGCTTGCTACAGTAGATGGCTTACTATGGGAAAGAAATCTTTTAAGGAAGAAAAGCATCTCATTCATTGTAGGCATTAATTGCCTCTCTTATTTTGCTTGGCCATGTTTGAGTTTACTAGCATTCTCATTTTTTGGATCTCTTTCCCCAGTTTGCTGTATAACTAAATGTAGAGTGTTCTGTTAAGTTGAATACATTTTACAGACCTGGGGTCTGAAGTAGCCTAAAGCAGCTAAATTAAAAATAACAGCTGCAGAAACAATGTTGGCAGAGGATTGCTTTTTTTCCCGAGAGTTGACTTGTAAAATGGCTGGTGAACTGAGTAGGAAATACTGGTTTCCAAAACATTTCTGACATGGAAAACCCTTTGAGGTTCTTTGGGGTGGGGGGGAGGAATAAGATCAAAAGCATTTGTGGATTTAATTGTAAAATATTGTTTGGAGTGTCAAAGTTGGTTTTGACAGAACATATTTTGTTTAAGATTGTGCAATGAACATAAGAAAGACTACTGTATAGTTTTGGCAAAGAACGCTTTGCTTCTGGGTTTAATTTTACTGAAGTAAATCTGTATAAGCCAACTCCCTTTGGGTAAATCTAGTGCTTATCTGTTTAAAATTTGTATTTAGCTTTTGTTTGGAATTGGAATAAATGAAAATAAACAAATTAGTTGAACATTTATCTGCTCTGTTAAGTTATGAAGTCCATGCTAGTTGTACGGTAATGCAGGCGCTAAATTGATACAGCAACAGAATCCATGACAGTATTAAGTGATAACGTAAAGTAATTCTAGAACGTTGAATTGATATTGGACAGATACAGATTCAGTGAATCTCACTGGCTGATCTGGACAGTCACTTCGTAATTAGTTCAACCTAATTACCTAATGATAATTAATATACATTTGGAGGAGAATATGCTATATAGGCATATGTATAAATGTGTGTGAAGAGGATGCTAAACCAGGAAACTGGCATTTCTTAGGAACAAAATCTATTTTTAATAAGCATTTTTTCTATTCAACTCAGGTTTACTTGCTAATTAAAATAGCAATTTATTAAAAGGATTATGCAAAGGGAAAACATTTTTTATATTTACTTCATTATGATAAAGTACATATAATGTTTTTTTTACAGGACTTTACTGAAAGGGGTTAGTAGAAATGACATCCTTCTAATTTGATGGAAAGAAATTTGTATCTTCGTCAAAATCAGACAGATGAAATAGAATTAACTATTGATTTACAGAGACCACACATATTACGGAATTAATACATGACATGAAGTAACATTGAATGTTTAAAAGGAATGGGAGTAGCCGTAACATGAACACTTAAAAAAAAAACCCTATTATCCTTGAACCCTTTGAAATATATGTAAAGTATGGAGCATAGAGGAAAATTAAGATCCTGTCCCAATAGCTCATTAAATTGAAATTCTCTACAGTTCCTACTCATAGCAACTGCTAAATTTATTCTTAAAATTCAGTCCTATCAGAGTCCTTGGCCAAGACCAATTACTATAAAATTACAGTTTGTGACTTCCTTCTTTTGGGTTTTTCATGCTCTGTAGCAATAAAGATTCTTTGTTGTAACCTTATCTAGAAGCTAAAATGGTCTCAAAACCATCTCTGGAATCTTAAGAATTCTTGTTAGTATTATGGCACTCTGCATTCATTAATTTGCTTTGTTTTACATTATGAAGGAAGAGAAATTTATGTGGAATACCTAAAATTTAAGGGTTTTTTAAAGGATACAGAAACATGAATTAAAAACTAGATAATATACCTGGTGTTATATAATGTTTTCACATTACTTTTTTCTGTTACAAACTAGCTCGAACCATTCAAGTCCATGCAATATTTGTATAAAAGGCCGTTGGTTTGATCTTATTCCTAAATACATAGAATTTAAGGGCACCTATACTTTTTGTAAACATGTGACATGTCTTGTATAAATATACATACTTCTTTAATATTTAAAGACCTTTAATCTTTAAAACCCTAACATACATGAAAAACTCAATGTAATTATTTACTTGATTTGTATAAGTGGTCCTTGCTTTATGACTGGTCGCTTACCAATCATTCTAAGTTACGACAGACCCAAAAAAGGGACTTGCAATTTGGCTCTGAAGTTATGACAGTTTCCTCCCCTGCAGCCACATGACTGTACTTTGGGCAATTGGCAACATGGCTGCATTTATGGCCATTTGCAAATTCCTGTAGTCAAATTAACAACCAATTATAGAGAACAATGGATTTGCTTAATAACCATGGCATTTATTTAATGACTGACATTTGTTATCAAAGCATTTGCTTAATGACCACCATAAAAATAGGTCATAAAATGGGGTCAGTCATGCAAGTGACCCATTTTACGACCATTACTACTGACAACCATAATGTGTAGGTTCCATTATGGTCATCACTCGACTATCTGTACAGCTACTCATCTGACTGGTGTGACTAGGTAGCCGACAACATAACATGACAGTTTATTAAACCTAGAAAAACATAATAGCACTTTGCAATAGCACTTACATACCGCTTCACAGTGCTCTATAGTTCTCTCTAAGCGGTTTACAGAGTCAGCATATTGCCCCCAACAATCTGGGTTCCCATTTTATCAACCTTTGAAGGATGGAAGGCTGAATCAACCTTGAGCTGGTCAGGATTGAACTGCCAAACTGCTGGCAGCCAGCAATCAGCAGAAGTAGGCTGCAGTACTACATTCTAACCACTACGCCACCATGGGCTCATAAAAACCATCTACAGTAAATCACACCATATAGGGTCCTAGTAAACATCCAATCTCCATCCATGTCTTCAAATCCTTCTGAAAAGCTAGTAAGGTTGGGATCCATCTAACTTTGGAACAGGTGGAATAGGTGTGGTGTTCCAAAGGATAGGCACTTCAACCCAAAAAGCCCATTTTCTGGTTCCATAAGATGACGTTTTTCAATCAATGGGACCTGCAGTGTGCCTGCTGTTTCAACCTGCACGGACAAGGAGATGCAGTTGGAGAGGTGGTCTTTCAAATAATCCAGTCCCAGAGAATGGCTGCCTTTGTAAGTGACAAGCAGCAACCCAAATTACATCTGAAAGCACCCTAGGAACCAGCGGAACTTGGAGAACTGAGGTATCAACATGGGGGACTCCAACGTGCGCCTGTTTTGTTACATTCCAGTTTCTGGATGTTATTCGAGAGCAATCCCATGTAGAGCCCATTACAGGAATCCATTTGGGACATTACCAGGATATGAATAAGTCACCTAATTCAGGAAAGGGTGCAACTGGCACATGTAACAAAGGTGTGTAAAATCACTTCCTTCCATAGTTGTTACTGGCTCTTTGAACAGGAGCCCATAAGTTAAACCCCAAAATTGCACAGTGGTTCTGTTTGAGGCAGTGTTACTCTGTCTAGATACGAAGATGGAAAATGACCCAATACAGGAAGCCCCAAAATCCAAAACTACTCAGTTTTGCTAGGATTAAGTGAAGCCTGTTCTTGTCCATTCAGACTCTCACTGCCTCCAGATACTGAGACAGCACTCAGCACTCCAGCTGGGGTGGGGATATAAAGCTGGGTGTCATATACAGGTAGTCCTCGACTTATGACCACAGTTGAGTCCAAAATTTCTGTTGAGATGTTTGTTAAGTGAGTTTCGCCCCATTTTATGACCTTTCTTGCCACAGTTGTTAAGTGAAGTTAGTAACCTGGTTGTTAAGTGAATCTGGCTTCCCCATTGAGGTTGCACAAGGTGATCTCGCAACCTTGAGACACAGCAACGGTGGTTGTAAGTATGAACCAGCTGCCAAGCATCTGAATTTTGATTGCATGATCATGCGGAGGCTACAAAGGTTGTAACTGTGAAAAATGGTTACAATGGTCACTTTTTCAGTGCCATTGTAACTTTGAACTGTCATTAAATGAACTGTTGCAAGTCGACGGCTATCTGTACCTCACCTGCTGTTGAATGGTCGACAGCATCATGTGGATGTTAAACAGGAGAAAAGTGTCTAGCTACGACTTAATTACAACTTAATTAGCTAATGGAATTCTGGCACAGAAATACTGAGTACGAACATTAAATTTCCTTTCTCCTGTAAGTCCAAATCTACTCCAAAGGGTAGACTCCGTGGAAAAGATTTGAAGGGGGTTATCTGGTCTGCAATCAGTGCCCATTCTGACACAATGCATTCGTTTCAACTTTGGGTTTTTTTACATATTCCATCTTTGTAATGATGCTTCCCAAACCAGTTATTTTCTATCTTTGTGCAATTCCGTTCCATTTGTTGTTCGACATGCTGTCTTCATTTTAACAACTTGATTGGCTTCCCCATAGGATCTCTTGTATTGTTTCCCCTCCTGCTCAGAATGAGGACAGGGAATAACCACAGAAGTCGAAACTGGAAGCAATCGAGTAATTGTTTAAATTGAAAACAACCCACTCTGGCAATTCCAGTTCTAGAAGATGTTTAACAAGCATGATGGCTTCGCTGTAGGGAGCACTAAGGAGCTATTTCATCCCCTGCTATTTTACTGTATAGCTTTATAAGCACTTTGCACAAACTAGGTCAAAAAGTTGCAGCGTAAGGACAGATGATTGCTTGTAGAATATCGTAGAAGAGTTCTGTTAGTCAATGGCAATAAAAAAAAATCAGGAAAGTGGTGCTACTTTTTCAGGCCAGTGTGACCTATAGCTCACAAAAGCTAATGCCTTTTAATCAAGTTTGATAGTCTAAAAATGTTTGGGTTGTAGAATAATATACTTTCATTCCCTCCAAATCTACTATGGTCACCGCTTATCCAATCCAGATAGACTTCACTAAGGCAGGCATCAAATCTGAATAAGCTGTAATGATGCCACTGCTGTTGGAGAGGGACAGTCTAAAAGGGCAAAAGGCAAACACTGCAATTTGCTGAAAACCACAAGAGGCATATTTTCCTTCAAATCAAGCATATTCACAACTAATGAAGAAGTCTTGGGATGTGTCAGAATGTAAGACAATTGGGCGTTCAAATAACCTGAAGAGATGATCCAATAAGAGAGTATCCCATTGGAGGTGGCTACAGCTGCTTCCTGCTTCCTACCATCTATCTTTTTAAATTCATATAATTGTATTTTTCTTGTTTCTTTTTCTTGTTTCATTGTTATGTTTACATTTTTTAATTACTTTTCCCATTTTACTGTTGCAAGCTGCCCAGAGTAGTCCTGTGGTGAGACGGGCAGCAAATAAATGTAACAAATAAATATAACCTATAGCAGTGATGGCGAACCTTTTAGAAACCGACTGCCCAAACTGCGCACGCATGCCCAAACTGAAAGGTGTGCACACGTGTATGGATGTGTGCAGCACAGACATGCACAGACATGCGCAGAAGCCCGAAGACCACTTGGCTGGCGGGAGACGGGGCATCCCAACGCACTGGCAGAGCAGCAAGAGGAAAGCTCTTTTTCTTTCGTGAGTTGCTGTTTCATCGTTTGCAGGGAAGCAGAAGCTCACGAAAGAAACACCACAGAGATCTGACCTGGGGTGACGGCGCACATGCCAGCAGAGAGGGCTCTGCGTGCCACCTCTGCATGCCATAGGTTTGCCATCACAGGCCTTGCGGTTTCCCAGTGTTCTACCATCCAGTTAATAAGTTGGTCCTATTTAGCTTTTTTTCAAGACAAGTCAAAGGTTATTTAGTTCTGCAGTGAATAACAATCTTTGGCTTCAATAAAACAGTAAACCCAAGCAAAATCACTAGCCAAACAATGTAGGGGGTTTCCTCCTTTTAGAAATCTCTCCGGAGAGCATCACAGTTGTGGGATCATGATTATTATTATTATTATTATTATTATTATTATTATTATTATCTTTAGTGAGATTCACAGCCTTTGAGGCTGGTTAATAGCTCAGCAGCTCGAGTCCTAACCAAGGACCTAGGAACTGTTAAGGTATTGTCGGAGGATGTAAGCTGAGTAAGGTGGTTTTTTGTAGAGTCAAAATGTTCAAGTCCGGTAAACTTAGAATTTCTAAATAGCGGGGTAGCCCTTTGGGTATTGCTCCAAGGGCTCCAATTACAATTGGGACAACACACGATTTCTTTTTCCACAGTCGCTCAACTTCAATTTGCAAATCCCGGTACTTTGTGATTTTTTCTTGTTGCTTAACTTCAATCCGTGTATCACCAGGTATTGCAATGTCAATGAACCATACTTTTTTCTTTTCAACTATTGTTATGTCAGGTGTGTTGTGGACCAAGTGCCTGTCAGTCTGAATCCTAAAGTCCCACAAGATGATGATGATGATGATGATGATGATGATGATGATGATAATAATAATAATAATATTATTATTATTATTATTATTATTATTATTATTATTATTATTATTATTATACCAAGAGCCTTGGTACTACAGGGGTTTAAGGCACCCTGTTATTAAGCTTATTAAGACCAGCTGCCTGCAATTACTGCAGGGTTCGAATCTCGCCAAGGCTCAAGGTTGACTCAGCCTTCCATCCTTTCTAAGGTAGGTGAAATGAGGACCCAGTTTGTGGGGGCAATAAGCTGACTTTGTATAAATATACAAAAGGATGAAGGCTATTGCTGAGCACATTGTAAGCCGCCCTGAGTCTTCGGAGAAGGGCGGCATATAAATCAAATTAAAAATAATAATAATAATAATAATAATAATAATAATAATAATAATGGCCTCTGCTCTCTCCTTCAACCACGTAGGCTTTTTCTGCACTCATCTACATTCGGTGCATCTGATTCTGGGAAGGTTGTTAAATAAAAAAGTGTAAGAAAGTAAGGGATAAAATCTTCTTGCTGGTGTTGTGGTACGCATAGCAGAAATGATTTTACACTGAAATTAAAATTTTCTAAATCAAAATGTTACTGAATAGCAGCAGCCACTCAGGATTTTTTAACAAGACAAATTCCTTTGGAAAGACTATTGCCATTTAAAAGATTTTGGACTTTCACCTTGTTTTATTAGGTGGGCACTCATTCAACACTGGATTTAAAAAAATAATACATTCAAGTGAACCCCATGGCTTAAAGGCACCAATACAAAAGGCATCTGGAGCCCCTGCAAACATAATAACACGTTACTTTTTTGAAAACCTCCTTGTAGCTCCTAGCATTGCCTTTTATGCTCTTCCCAAAGATGGAAAACCGCTTCCCTGAGTGTTTTGTTCCTCCCAGAGCTGCAGGGGAAGAATTACATCTGGGAAAAACAGCTTCTCTTCTTGATTCAATCCAGTGCTTAGAACAATGTTTCTCAACCTCAGCAACCTGCAGCTGTGTGGACTTCAACTCCTACAATTCCCCAGCCAGCCATGCTTAAAAGTTGCGGAAGTTGAGAAAGAGTGGCTTAGAAGCTGCCATCATCTGTCCCTCCCACAACTGAAACTCAAAAGGAACTTTAAGTTTCAGGAGGAAAAACCTGTTTTCTCTGATCTTTTCTTCAGTGCTTCCAGGTTCACACTTATATTAACTCCACTGTACTATTTTTTGTAGCAGGAGAAACAATTTCTTACATGTATGTTCCATTAACAAATAAGTCATCTTATCCATCCACCCTAGACACGTTTGTACATAAATATAAATACATGTACAGACACGTGCATACATTTATACACCAACAAATCTGACCTTGGGCCAACAATGTAATTTAAACAACAGATTTCAACACTGTGATATTATTTCGTTACCCAATGGCTGCATTTCAATTTTGAAACTTGCGGAGGTACACTCCTCCATCTTGCATTCTTCTCAGGATTTTATTTTATTTTTTTATGACTGGTATCCCAAGTGCTTGGTGTGCCTCCCTTGCGCTATCAATCTTCCTGTTCTCTTATCTGTTAAATTCACGGTGGCAAAACCCAGAGTTTTTCCTTGCTTCAGAATCTCAGCAGTGATCAGGATTTCTTCCCCAATCTTAGCTGATGACATGTACCTAGAATACAGAAGCGGAAAATATTTGTTATATGTACAATGAAAGGCAATGTGAGCTGTTGTCTTCCTTCACTCCATCCTTACAACTGTCCTCTAAGCATTCTGAGGCAGAGCGATAGAAGAAACAGACTGATTCAAAGAGAGCCACTGAATTTCCTGCCTAAGCAACTTTTTGACTGTTTAATAAAAGCCAAAAAGGAGTACTGAATAAATTGTTGGATATCTTTTCTTCTGCTTAGCTGAGATATTTGCAGAGGGACCCAATCCATCGCTTTTAGTAATGCTTATTCAACACAGTTTTGGGGAGAGCAGAATGATAGATACCACCCTAAACTTTGCTTATATAAAAATCTTTCGGTATGACATGTACATTAAAAAAGAATGCAATGAGAAGGATATTGCTCAGAGTGACAGGTTTGAGGATTTTGAATTGTAGGCTGTTAATATATAACAGGAAGCTTGGAGAAGCCTGCAGACTTAAGAGTAAAGTCCTCGTCCAATTTCCACTTTTTTTTCTTTTAAGAAGTCTGTAATCCCTTGCATCGGTGTGGAATCGAGGTGACTGAACGGAGCTGAGTGTTTACTGTTTGGATGCCCTTCCTGATGCCTATGTGTAGCTCACAGCAGATAATTTTCCCTTTGCACCCAGAGGGAGAAATCTCTGGTCTACCTAGAATTGAACTCATAGCCTCTAGGCCATCACGCCATTCACCTCATCCAATCTCCAATATGATCAGGAAAAGGTTCTATTTGAATTTGGAGTGCTACTATATGTAAATATGGAATACATAGTAATGTACAACACAAAATAAAACTAAAATAATGGCTCAGGTACTTCAAAATAAAAGCATGACTAATGAATGTTTCACTACCTTTTAGAACTTCTGAAGAATCTGGATACAGAAGTCTAGTTTTCCAAAAAGTATTTAAGCAGTTAAGTTTTAAAAAATTACACAGCTTGTAGTATCTCAGCATTGGACTGGCCTGATGCTTTCTTGGAATTAACACAATTTGGATTTGCCCTGTTCAGTGCAGAATGAAGGCTCAGGTAAAAGCAAAAAAGCATGGGAATAAACTTCACCAAGTTTGATACCTACGTAATATTCATGTCCACACTAACACCGGGTGCTCCTCTTTCAGTATACATTAATGCAGCTGTTGACACAAGGTCTACTAAAGTTGCTGTCAGGCCCCCATGCAGAGTTCCTCCTCTGTTTGTATGCTGTTCTTCAACTTTCATTTCACAGACAATTTTTCCAGGGTCTGCAGAGACAACCTTCATCTGGGTTGAGAAGACAAACAGAAATCTAGTTCCATAATGTCAACGTGAATTTTATCTGCACCCTATACGCACATGCTGGCTTTCTATTGAGCAGAATAATAAAGATTCTACTTTACTTCCACTTTCAATTAGCACTCACGCATCCTGAATAATTTTAGGTTACTTTATTAGCAAATTTACTTAAATATTGGGCAGGGAATAAATATTGGCAGGGGCTAAGTTTGTACTTCTTGGAAGTTTTTTCCAAGCTAACTCTCTTTTGCATAGATGATGGCAGCTCCTTTTGCCCCAGTTGCAGGAAATTAATGAAAAGCTGCATTTCTATGACAAATGTTTATATTTTGACTGCTTTACAGGGGGAGGCAGAGAGAGAGAATCTGTATGGGCACTAAAACAAAAACAACCCCCCTAATATATTATTCTCCCACTTTCCCCATGGTTCCTAAAGTAAAGGGATCAGGACAGAAAGGTGGGGGAAAATCAATGTAATCTTTATAAGACAAACAGGTCATGTAAAAATGGACAAAATGAACTTTGCCCCCCCCCATCTTAGAAATATGCTGTGAGATAGTGAAATAAGAACTCTTTAATAAAGGCAAGGAACCTTTGATGCATTGTATCCATATCACAGAAAAGGCAGGTAGCTGTAAGTCAAGGACTACTTGTAATAGCAGATAATAGCAACCTAGGCCTAGTACTTAGTTTAAGTTGGGCTTCTTATGGCGAAAAACGGGCCTGTTTTTTGCAAAAACGGGAGCATTTTTGCCCTCCCCATCCCCCAGGAGTACTCTGCAGGCCTCCCAAACTCTCTGCATACCCTGTTTTTGCAAAAAATGAGCCCATTTTTCGTAAAAATGGGACGAGCGGGGCGGGGCTTCGGGAGGCCAAAAATGGCTGTATTCAGTGTATAAGACACACCAACATTTCCACCCTCTTTTAGGAGGGAAAAGTGCTTCTTATACTTCAAAAAATATGGTAGTTTAAGTTTGGCCTCTTATAGCTGTGAAATCAACAAATCTTGTCTTATAATTATAAAACAAATCTTGTTTTATAATTCCAGCCAAACTTTGGGAAGGAGATTTGCATTCCCTATATGTACAATAAGAATCTAGACTTCACTGAACTCATCTGAATGCTGATTTGCCTCTCATGGACTACTATAATGTGATCCTAATTTAGAGCACTTGGCAGAAATGTTTTATAGTACACACAGGATGTGCTTTGTACAATATACTGGAGAAAATCTGAAAGGTCCACTGACATTTTTTTCCCAAAAAAAATAAACAGTATTGTAAACTCAGTTAAAAAACAATCAGGCACTTGGAATTTTCCACCATGCCAAAGTAACAAGGAAAAATGAGAAGTGAAAAAATGAAATGAATGAAAACTTACCTGCAAAAGATTAACCACTAGGAACTCAAAGGTTCTTGAACAGCAGCTGAAATAACAACTTTAAAGTCCAACTTTTAACCCTCTTTGTTTAAACCAAAGATTTCACTGTATAGGTGTTGTAAGACCTCATCCTTTCATTAGAAATTCCAATTTGACAACCCTGTGACCCACTGAGTCATCCTTTGAGGGAAAGGCTATGAAGTTTAATGCAACCAGAATGAACATTAAATTTTAGGTTGATATATTTTTTTAGCCCAATGCTAGATAGTCCCTTGATCATCTAAGAAGTGTATACATCATAAATAGAAAAATACCAGTAACTGTAGTGACAAACTTCAGTGACAAATCACGGGTAGACAAAAAAAAAGTGGGAATAGGAGTGACTACCAACTTGTTTACAGAAAACTGACAGGGACCTTTGTAAATCACAATCATGTGACCCATAGGGAGGCTTTAACTTTGCAAATAAAACTGATCTGAACATTAGACATTTCAATTCTTGGATTTTTTATACTTTATGTACCTTGATTCAAATTTTGTACAATGCACCTTTTGCACTAACTTGAAGGTACAAATAGGGACATAAACACAAAGCAAGTTTTAGTAGTATATTGATACACATATGAATTAAGCCACTCAATAAAGTTAACCTCTAGGTTGACAGTGTAGTTCTCCTATTTCAGATCTTGACTGATAAAAGCTTCCCTGAACATTGTTTATACTTGTTGCAATGAAGGAGAAAGCCATTTCTTTATATATTTCTTTTGTCTCTATTTTTTTCTTTTCTTTTCTCTATTTTTTCTTTTTTTCATCTTCTATATTTTCCGTTTGCATTGGTTTATCTTTTTAATTGTAACCTTTAATAAAATTATCATTTTAAACATTTCCCGCTATCTCAGCGGACACAGTGGCTTTTAACACATTATAATTGTTATTGGATAAGGTACTTGTCAGCTGTGTCACAGGTCATCTGGGTGACCATTCTGTTTTCTCCTCTCCTCCCATCTGAATTTAAATTCTGTATCAGTCCAGCCACTCCATTGTGTCTCAAGATGTGAGTTCTAGTTTACCTTTTAATAAAACGTGTTAGTCTGAAAAGGGTCTTACTAATTTTTAGCTAGCACAGAAGATTAATGCGGCTCTACTCCAACGACCTTGAGAGCATGCAGTGGAGTAGGCCGGGATTTACAGTAGCTGCTGCAACCTTTCGCTCGACCTGTTCAAGGTCATCCCGGGAAAATCAGCAATACGAAACTACGGCAGCGCCTCATTACCTTATTCGCCACCCGATCGAAGCCGGGCGACTCCACCACGGCTTTCATCACCTCGCGAACACTTTGAAGGGTGAAACGAGCCATGGCATCAAACGTGGAATCCTTTCAGAGCAAGAATGCTAGCCGGGTCGCTGATCCCCAAAGAGGCAGTTCCGAGCGGCTTCAAATTGCGGCGGTACCAGGAAGCCGAGCAGCGCCACCTGAGAAACACCTACGTTCGGTTTCCCAAAAGAACAGACGATTAGCATGGGCAGAATCGCAAACCCCGCCCCTCCCTCCGCGCCTCTGAGCCGCGGTAGTCCCAGTGCAAAAGCAGCTCCCGGGGAACGTTCCACCCATCGAACGTCCCAGCCCCTTTTTTTCGAATCACCTGCCCGCCTCTTTGCACCTCCGCCTTCCGTCGGCCTCGCGCCACGCTCGGAAAACCACAGGAAACTCCGGGGCGCAGATCCTCGATGGCGCATGCGCAGCCTTTTTCCGCTTCGACCGGGGAAGCGCTGGTGGGCCTGGCGTCGTTTTAAGGCGCTGCGGTTTCTTTGCTAAACAACTATTCCAAGAGATGGAGGGCGGCTGTGCGGACAGGGAGGCGGAGCAGGCGGCCTCCGAGGCGAAGGAGCGGCAGCGCGTGGAATCGGCGGAGGAAGGAGGGCCGCGGGAAGACTTGGAGGAGCAGCGGAAGCGCCTGTGCTTGGATTTTGCCTCCATCAGTAATAGTGGCGCAGCCGCGGCTGAGCGCTACCTGGCCGAGAATGGCTGGGATATGCAGGTAGGTGCCGTTCTTAGCCTTCACCACGATACAGGATATCCTCGACTTGCAACCGTTGGTTTAGTGACCATTCAAAGTTAACAACTGCGCTGAAAAATATGACTTGGGACCGTTCTTTCATAGTTACGACCTTTGCCGCATCCCCATGATCATGTAATCAAAATTCAGATGCTTGGCAACTGGGTTCGTATTTATGACCGTTTGGCATGTTCCAGGGTCATGGGATCACCTTTTGCAACCTTTTGATTTAGCAAAGTCAACGGGGAAGCCACCACTCACTTAGCAACCGGGCTACTAACTTACCAACTGCACTGATTCATTTAAGAACTGTGGCAAAAAAAAAAAAAAGTCGTAAAACTCCCTTAACAACTGTCTCGCTTAGCCACAGAAATTTGGGGCTCAGTTGTGGTTGTAAGTCAAAGATCACCTATAATGAGAACCAGTTTGGGGTAGCGACTAAGATGCTGGCCTAGAAATCAGGAGACTGTGAGCTCTTGCCCTGAGCAACAGAAATTTTGGCCTCAATTGTGATCGTAAATCGAGGACTACTTATACCAGGTTTTGATTTTTCTTTTGTAGAAGGCGCTGAATTCATACTTTGACCCGTCTCCTGAGCAAGATGTCGAAGGGATGTCCCATCCAGTTCCCGCCATGGGGGCTCCGTAAGTTATTTATGTGAAGGCTTTTTGTGGAGAAAAGGAGGGAAAATCTTTCGTTCCCCTCCATTATATAGCCATGTTAATCCCTTTTCTTTTATTTCCATTATCTCACCTTTATTATTTTTACAAATAACTCAAGGCGACAAACATATCCAACACACCTTCCTCTTCCTATTTTCCTTACCACAACTTTGTGAGGCAATTTGGGATAAGAGAGAGAATGACTTTTCACTCTCTCCTCATTTTCAAATTTGTTAAAGGATCTTTTTTTACAGCAACTGTTTATAGTTATGAGGTTGAAAGTCAACAGAGAAATTAAACTTGGTGCTGTGTGGAGCAGAAAACCGTTCCCCGTGCAAAATGACATACCTACAACCCTGTTTGCTGACTTGGAAGATCCTGCCTAATCATTTTCTTTGTGCCTGAATTTGTTATTTATGCATAAATAGTGCATAGGTTCTAATATGGTGGGTTTCAAAAATAAATTATGGTATGCTACTGCATGGAGTTAGTTCAGTATGATTTACAGCAGTGACCAACTTTTTGCTCTAAGTCTAATGGGGTTCTGATTTTTCTCTTTGTAGCGAATCCCCTACAGATCTTAAATAAGAGTACTATAATCAAAATTATATACTTGAGATGTTTGGAATTTCACAGCTATTTGACCAGATGTCATAGCATTGGCAAGAGATTGTATGAATAATCTAAAATGCAGGCATCCAACTTTTGACTTGCATGAGCCGCATTGAGTGAAGAGGAATTGTCTTGGGCTGCATATAACATACATAATGTAGTTAATGTATAAGATAGTCCTCCACTTACAATTCATTTAGTGACTGTTAACAACACCACTGAAAAAAGTGACTTGTGACCATTTTTCACACAAACGTTGCAGCATTCCCATGCTCATGTGCTCAAAATTTAGATGCTTGGCAACTGACTTGACACACTTGATAGTTTCACATGCCAAGCTAAAACCTTAGGGCACCAGAGGGAAGTTGATGGCCACATAGCTTCAAGGCTGAATTCTGATGTGAAAAATTGTAAATGTTTTGGTGACAACCACTGCATGCTATGTAGTAAACTGGATCTACTGCAGATGGCAATTTTCTAAAATTACTTTTTAAAGCCTGTGGATAAGTAAATGTTCTTGAGAAAATTATTTAGGCAATATGCTTAATTTGTGTATGTGCATTCCAGTGTTGAGCTAACTGATCATTCGACTACCAATACTGTAACTGCTGCAGTAGTGGAAGCTGCAGGCATCTGCCCACAAGATGACAGCACTTTTTCTTTAATTACTTGGAATATTGATGGTCTGGATTCAAATAATCTGCAAGAAAGGGCACGAGGAGTCTGTTCCTATCTAGCTTTGTAAGTATCTATCACAGTAATCCTATGAGCATCTAGTGGAAATAAGCCCAATGATTTAACAAGATTAATTATAGAACAAGCATGCTCTGGAGAACATTATGCATTTGTTTTGTACTAGCTACTTTTTAATAAGAGTTGAATTCTTTTGTAATACAGTGCTAAAATATATGTGCATGTAAGTCTATAAGTAACAAAAAGTTTTAGGTTGTCTAAGACTTAGCTGCAAAAGTGTGTTACTTTGTCTGGTGCCCAAATGCTCTCTTTGTATCTGTAAAATACAACTATTCATTTAGACACTGTTAGAAATAATTATATTTAATTTGCATGAATTGGAGATAAGTTATTGTGCTTCTAAAGCAGGAACATTAATCTTAAACTTGTGCTAATTCCCTGTTTTATTCAGTCAGTCTCATATTTATGATCTTAGTAATTCTAGAATGCTCATTAAAGCATGTTTTGGAGAAGGCCACAAGCAAATTAAAAGGACATAAATCAAAATTACTATTGCAAATTTTCTGCCAAAGACAGTCCTCAGATCATCATCTTCATTTAACGACCTGATAATCCCTTGCGGGGTGGAGTCTGGGCAACTGAATGGAACTAGCAGAGTGTTTTAATGGCTGGATGCCCTTTCTGTTGCCAATACGGAGTTTTGTTAAGCAGATATATTCTCAGTCTGCCCAGAGAGAGAGAAACATCTGCCTCTACCTAGGATCGAACTCACAGCCTCCTGATTGTGAGGCAAGAGCTTCTCCAGGCCACCGCACCACTCCAAAGATAGCCCTCAGATGGCTCCCATTATTTCTTATAGCCATTTTCTGTATTTGATGATGGTATTGCATGATGATTTAGAGATCTGGGTTGATAAATATTGAAGGTACCTAGCACCAAGTCATTTTGGCTATTCGAGTTAGCATCTGAAGTATTAAGGTTAGCATGTGAAGTACCGCTTTATAAAACCCTAGTAAGACCACACCTGGAATATTGCTACCAATTTTGGTCACCATAATACAAAAAAGATGTTGAGACCTTGGAAAAAGTTCAGAGAAGAGCAACTAAGATGATCAAAGGCCTAGAGACTAAAACATATGAAGAACAGCTGTAGGATTTGGGTTTCGTTAGTGTAAAGAAAAGAAGAATGGGGGCGACATGATACCAGTATTCCAGTATTTGAGGGGCTGTCACAAAGAAGAGAGGGTCAAATTATTCTCCAAAGCACCAGAGGGCAGGACAAGAAACAATGGTTGAAAACTAACCAATCAACCTGGAATTAAGGAGAAACTTCCGAACAGTGAGACAATTAACCAGTGGAATAGCTTACCTTCAGAAATCATGGGCACTCCATCACTGGAGGTTTTTAAGAAGAGACTAGACAGCCACATATCTGAAATAGTATAGGTTCTCCGAGCAGGGGGCTGGACTAGAAGACCTCCAAGATCCTTCCATATTCTATTCTATTCTATTCTATTCTATTCTATTCTATTCTATTCTATTCTATTCTATTCTATTCTATCTATTCTATTCTATTCTATTCTATTCTATTCTATTCTATTCTATTCTATTCTACCCTACCCTACCCTACCCTACCCTACCCTACCCTACCCTACCCTACCCTACTCTACTCTACTCTATCTCATCTATAATATGCTGCAGAAATACATTGAGAAGATTATTAAAGAATTGCAGTGCTTTGTCTGAGTAGATGCAGTTGCAGTTAGCAAGTTGACTAGATGACCTGCAAGGTCCCTTCCAACTCTGTTATTCTATTCTAAGTTACTTTAAACTGATCAAAGGCATCTTATGCAATCCAACATATATTCAGTACACACACACACACAGAGAGAGTTAGAAGTAAGCACTATCAAATGCCCACAGATATGCCCACAGAGTTTAAGATTTAAGCAGTTTATGAAAGTTGCCATCTTTATTAACTGTTTAGTTGAATGTATCTGTAAGCATCTGAATATCTGATGGAAATCTGAGGGTAAGATCAGGTTGCAATATTGTAATGTATTAAGCTACTTTCAAAGCATGAGTTTGAAACTGGATTTATTTATTTATTTATTTATTTATTAAATTTATATTGCCACCTATTCGCCCATGGCGACTCAAGGCAGCTTACAGAATAAAAGACCACGTTTAAAAGAATAAAAACTAACAAAAAGAATAAAATAAATATAGTACAATATAACAAAATCACCCCTTACCTTCCACCCCCCACCCCGGCGACAGCAGATCACACGAGCCATTTAATGGGGTCCATCCTGCTCTGGGTTCCCTAGGCCCGCTGGCAGAACCAGGTCTTCAGTGCCTTCCGGAAGAGTATTAGAGTGGGGGCCCTTCTAATCTCTTGAATGATGTTCCAGAGAGAGGGAGCCACCCTTCTTCTGGGTCCCACCAGGTGTATCTCCCTTTGGGATGGGACCTGCAACATTCCCTGCCTCCCCACTCTGATGGGTCGGGTAGATGTGACCGGCAAGAGACGGTCCCTCAGATAAGAAAAAT